TTTAGAAACATTGCCTATAAATTTAGAATCTTATATATTTAAACTACCAATGTTTTTAATTATAAAGACACAACCATCCTAACTGCATTCATTAGAATTAAAATTAGATGAAATAATTTATAAATAATTACAGTTTTCGATTTATACTAGAGATGATTATGGCTGACAAGAATTAATTCTTAAATCATCAATATGAACTTTACTTTAAATTTAATTATCCATTTTTGTAAAGAGATATTACTTTTTTCTAATTGCACATTTTTTATTTTTATTGTATTCGAATCCTGAATTTAAACCAAATAAATCTATTAATTGGTATTGCAAAAACTACAAAAGAAATCTTAAATTTCAAGCTCTTAAGTATTTATTTCAAATAAGCTAAATCCATCCATTCTAGTTAAGTCTCTTAAGCTAAATATTTTTAAAGAATACTTTTGAAGAAACAATTGATAATTTAATGTTATCACTTTCTTAAAAAACTAAATTTAATATCTAAACAAATATATTTTTATAGAAATAAACATCGAAATATTCTTCTGTGATGAGTAAATTGAAATCAGATTAACTAGTTTGACTTAGTTTAAAATCATGTATTCTTAAATATTAACAACCAATCTAATTAATTAATGTATTTCTCTTTAGACTTTCACCTTTAATGTTTTCTAATGTTGTGTTATAATTTTATTATTATTTTAAGAAATTTTTGCTAATACTACTTGAAAAGATATTGATATTTTTCATTGAAACTTACTAAATTGCATCCATGACAATAAAATTATCTACAGTAGAAGTGCTAATTTTAACACTTTAAATACCTACAAAAGTTGAATTAACAATTTAAAAAATGTATCCATTAGTAAATATGCAGTTGTAAATAGAGTATATTAACAATTAAATAATCAATTGGATAATTATAATGTTCTAGTTACTGTAAATGAAATATTAGACTTTATACCTGCTAACTTATAATAATAATTAACAATTTAAAATTTTGTAGATTATATATAATCTTTAAATACTAATAATATAACCTAAAATTAATAAAACCTTTTAAGAACTTATAGAAATATTTTGTATTAGTTATATTAGTAAACTGGAATTACGAATAACAAACTTTACTATTGCAAAAATTGTTTGAATCATTTTTACGATGAATAAAAATTGACTAATCATACTCCAAATTGTTACTTAATACATAATTTTCATAAAACTTTCTAAATGTAATCAAGTAAAAGATTTTAAATATAAATAAATAAATGAATTATAAACCTATTTAAAATAAATTTATAAAATTAATTTTACTTTTGAAAAATAGTAAATTAATTGTAGAAATTAATAAATAATAAATTTAATTTTTTTGTTTTTTGAATTGAAAAAATCTTCTGGAGGCAAATCACTTATTTTCTATAAAATTTAAAACAAACTATGGAAAAATTTGTCAGTAACATAAAATTAGTTTATAAATACCATTTAATTTTCAACTATCCTCTTTGATAAAAATATTTAAAATAGTTTATTTAAATGAAATATATATCTCGAAGTGAAAATGGTGTGTATCGATATGTAATAGATGCTTTGTAATATCTATTTATAAAACATGTAGAGATATCAAAAATAATTCATTTTTATACAAAGTTTATTTAATTTGTGGCTATTTGATTGATCAAAACCCTGACTTTAATTTAATAAATTCAAATATAAATCAAAAATTATATTTCGTAACTCTGGTTATTATTTCAGATCATTAACTTATATTTGAGTGTTTTTATAAATAAATTTAAGTAATTAGGAATTTATGGTTTTTCCTTACTTCCATATCTAAGGGAAATAAGTATATCTTAATTTAAACAACGTTTTCCATATAAAAAAAATATTTTCATACATAAAGAAAATAGAGCCTACAATTTAGCAGTAAAATTTAATCTCCAATATTTTGTTTTCTAAAAATTAGTATAATATATATTTTAAAATAAAAAATATTATTTACAAATTAGCATCAATAATTGCAAAATGTTACAATCTATTATATTGTTTGAGTAAATAGGTAAAAAATTGTTAATTCTCATCAAAATTTTAATTCATAGCTTTTATTACTAATTAATTCTGAATATATAATTTTTAAATTGAAATAGAATTTTATAGAAATTTTAAAATTACGACACATTTATCTGATAAATTTTATCTAATCATCTTTTAAAACTGTCTTGATTTAAAATCTAAAAATAATATTATTTTATTATCTATTAATTTTTTCAATTATATTTATCACCTTTAATTTAACCCATATTTTTAAATATTTAGACTTATAATTAGATGTTTTTGTTAATGTATGCAGATTAATTTTATTACTAAAGTTATATCTTTCAATAAATAAAATTATAATTTAAGATAAACAATAAATTAGCTTTTTAAACTTTTCTTAATGAATTAAAAATTAGTTTTGGATTATAAAAAATTCTTTATTCCTAATTGAAATTCGCCATGCTTTATATACTTAGACATTTTTACTCAAAACATTAAAGAATAAAAAAATCAAATACAAAAAAATAAAACTAAAACTTTAAATAAAGTATGAATAGATTTATTCTTTTGAGTATTATCATGCTCATGCCTCTCTGTTTGGCTCAAAATGTAAGTGTAGAAAAACTTCTTGCTTATAATAAATGGTCAAGCGAACATCAAAGAGTTTATCTGAATGAACATGAAAAATTATTTAGACAAATGGTTTTCTTTGAGAACTTGTAAAAGATTTAGGATCATAACAGTAATCCTAATAACACCTATTCTATTCATTTAAACTAATTCTCAGATATGACTAAACAAGAATTTGCTGAAAAAATTCTTATGAAATAGAGTTTTGTTGAAAATTTTATGAAAGGAGCCAGTTAATAGGATAATAATACTAATGCTAACCATAATGAGGCTAATCATAATGATGCTAATCATAATGATGCTAATCATGAAATGTAATTGAATTCAAAGAACTTTACTATAGCTACTTCAATAGACTGGAGATCAAGAGGTGCTGTAACATAGGTTAAGTGGCAAGGTAATTGTGGTGCATGCTGGGCTTTCTCTGCAACTGGTGTAATGGAGTCATTTAATTTCATTTAAAACAAAGCTTTAGTTGAATTTTCTGAGTAATAACTCTTAGATTGTGTCATTCCTGCAAATGGTTACCCCTCTTCAGGATGCCATGGTGGATGGCCTGTTTAATGCATAGATTATGCCTCCAAAGTAGGTATCTTAAATCAAGACAGATATTACTATTTTGGAGTTTAGATGTAGTGTAGAGTGACTGGCACAAATAATGGTTTTAAGCCTAAAAGCTGGGTTTAAATTCCTAACAATTCAGATGCCTTAAAAACTGCTTTGAATTTCTCCCCAGTTTCTGTAGCTGTAGATGGTACCAATTGGACTGATTATAAGTCTGGAGTTTTTAACGGATGTGATTCTCATGTTAGTCTTAATCACGCTGTATTAGTAGTAGGCTATGATGAACAAGGTAACTGGATTATTAAAAATTCTTGGAGCACTCTTTGGGGTGAAGGTGGATATATGAGACTTGCTCCTAACAACTCATACGGTATCTTAAACTTAGGTTATTAAATCACTTCTTGAAAATTTTAAATAATCTATTATCATTAAAATTTATTAAAATATGTTGTTCGTATAAACTATAAAATTAGTCACTCAAATACTAATATTTACTTTTAAAATTTAAAATTTATTTAAATTAGAATTACATTTTTAATATTAAAAGTAATAGTTTAAATTTAAAAATAACTTCACAAAATATATAAAGTAAATTTATTTTAAAAAAAAATTCAACAAAAATTACTACAAAATTATTTAATGTAAGCTTATCCATTAAAAATATACTGTCTAGCTAATCAAAGCTTCTTTATATTAATAAGATTAACTAGTTTTCTATTTATATTAAGGTTTTTAAATACCTTAAATTCAATTAAGATTGTACGAATCGCATAAAATAAATAAAAATTTTTAAAGTTTACTAAAACTTTATGCAAGACCCTATAATTAATAATTTTTGCAAATATTTTAAATAATTCTTAAAGTATTTATTTAATACAAATTTTTTAGTAAAATAATAAAGCCAAATTCTTTTTCCTGTTCTTTTTAGGTAAGTAGTTTAATAATAAATTTAAATGAAAATTGTTCATATAAATATATTTTATTAATTCCCAAAAAATTTAATTATAAATAATACATAATTTTCATAAAAATCTAACATAAGCTGTTAAAAATGAAATAATGAATAGTAAACCTATTAATAATAATTGAATCTCCATAAAAAAGAATAAAATTTAATTTTTTTAGCTTTAATCTTAATTTCATTAATTGAAAAAATCTTCTTAAAGCAAATCACTTTTTTTCTATAAAATTTAAAATAAAGTGTTTACAGGTTTATTTGAACATAAAATTAATAAATAAATGCCATTTTAATTTTAAATTATCCTCAATGATAAAAATTATTTAATATAATTTATTTAAATGAAAATAAATATCTCTAAGGATTAATGGTTATTATCCAAATGTAAAAATTGCTTTATTATATCTATATATATAACAAGTAGTGATATCAAAAATCATTAATTTTTATACAATTTTTATTTAACACGTTGATATTTGATTGATGAAACCATGAATTTAATTTAATAAATTCGAATTTTAATCAACTTATAGTTGAGTGTTTTTCCATGAATTTAAGTAATAAGGAATTAATATTATATCATAACATCCATATCTAAGGAGAAATAAGTATTTTATAATTTAAACTCCTTTTTACATAAAAAATATTTTCGTACATAAAGAAAATAGAGTCTAAAATTTAGCAGTTAAACTTAATCTCCAATATTTTATTTTCTAAAAATTAGTATTATATGTATTATAAAATAAAAAATATTACATATTAAATTAACATCAATAATTATATAATGTTACAATAATTTGTTTGAGTTTTTAGATTAAAAATTGTTTATTCTTTTCAAAATACAATTTCATAAATTTCATTACGATAATTACTAATTAATTCTGATTATATAACTTCTAACTTGAAATAGAATTTTATACTTAATTCTATAATGACGACACATTAATCTGATAAATTTTATCTAATCATCTTTTAAAATTATCTTTATTTAAAATCTAAAAATAATATTATTATATTATCTATCAATTCTTTCAATTATATTTATCATCTCTAATTTAACCCATATTTTTAAATATTTGAGGCGTATAATTTAATTGTTTTATTAATGTACGCTAATTAATTTTCTTACTAAAATTATATTTTTCAATAAATAAAATAACAATTTAAGATAAACAATAGAAAAGCTGATTAATTTTTTTTTACTGAAGTTAAATTAGGTTTGGCTTATAAAAAATTCACTATTCCAAATTGAAATTCGCTATTCTTTATATACTTAGACATTTACACTCAAAACATTAAATAATAATAAAATACAAAAAAAATAAAATAAAACTAAAACTTTAAAGTATGAATATATTTATCCTTTTGAGTATTATCATGCTCATGCCTCTCTGTTTGGCTCAAGATATAAGTGTAGAAAAACTTCTTGCATATAATTAATGGTCAAGCTAACATCAAAGAGTTTATCTGAATGAAAATGAAAAACTATTTAGATAAATGGTTTTCTTTGAGAACTTGTCAAAGATTTAGGAACATAACAGCGATCCTAATAACACCTATTCTATCCATTTAAACTAGTTTTCAGATATGACTAAAGAAGAGTTTGCTGAAAAAATTCTTATGAAATAGGATTTGGTTGATCATTTAATGAAAGGAATCAGTTAAGAAGCAACTCATAATGATGTTAATAAAGAAATTTAATTGAATTCAAAAAGCCTTACTTTAGCTGCTTCAATAGACTGGAGAACAAAAGGTGCTGTAACATCGGTTAAATACTAAGGTATCTGTGGTTCATGCTGGAGTTTCTCTGCAGCTGGCTTAATGGAGTCATTTAACTTCATTTAAAACAAAGCTTTAGTTAATTTTTCTGAATAATAACTTGTTGATTGTGTCAACCCTGCAAATGGTTACTCCTCTTAAGGATGTAATGGAGGATGGCCTGCTTAATGTCTGGATTATGCCTCTAAAGTAGGTATCACTACCCTAGAAAAATATTACTATATTGGAGTTTAGTAAAACTGTAATGTGACTGGTACAAATAATGGCTTTAAGCCTAAATAGTGGATTTATATTCGCAACACTTCAAATGACTTATAAAGTGCTTTGAATTTCTCTCCTGTTTCTGTTCTTGTTGACGCTTCCAATTGGCATAATTATAGATCTGGAATTTTCAACGGATGTGATTAATCTCATATTAAACTTAATCATGCTGTATTAGCTGTTGGCTATGACTAACAAGGAAACTGGATTATTAAAAATTCTTGGAGCGCCCATTGGGGTGAAAATGGCTATATGAGACTTGCTCCTAACAACACATGCGGTATCTTAAGCTCTAATCTTTAAGTTACTGCTTGAAAAATTTGGATAAGCTATTATAATTAAAATATATTATTTGTATAAACTATTATTTTATATAAAATAGTCATACAAATATTAAGATTAGGTTTGTTTTAAAAATAAAATTTTTTTTTAAAGTAACATTAAATTAATAAATATTCAAAAATAATAATTTATATTTAAAAATAACTTGGCAAAATATATTAAAGTAAATTTATTTTATAAAAAAATTCAACATAAATTAACTACAAAATTATTTAATTTAGCCTTATTCATTAAAAATATACTCCCAGTTAACCAAAACTACTTTATATAAAGACCTCGTACTAGATTTTCTGGTTTTTGATTAAAAAAATAATTTTTTATTGATAGCTCAAAAAAAATAGGAGCAAATTAGGAAGAAATATGATATTTTAACAAATAATTCAAAAAATGTCATATAGAAATCTTCTTTTTATGATTAATAACCATTTTTACAAAAGTGTTAACAACACCCCACATACTGTATCTAATATATTTAAACTGATACCAAGCAAAACTGTGTTTTTAAATGTACTTTCTGCTTAGTTGAAAATTCAATTTAACCAAATAAACTTATTATACTTAACTAAGCTATTGAAAGTGATTAGGAAATAGTGTTTATTAACTGACCTACCTATGATGATCAAACCTTCAGTTAAAAAATGAAATGAAACAGTCAAATCAATTGGAGTTAGAATAGAAAATTAGCATAATCTATCAAATAAAATAATTAGACCAATCCTGAGTAGAAATAATAAACTTAAACAGATAATTTCAAATTTTACTCTAATCTAGATTAAAATAAATTTTTATTATTTACTAGTAAATTTTCATTTCAATGCAATGTATATTTTATATGTTTTAAATTTTTTCTCATAAATAAGATCATGAAATTTCTAAGAATTTTTATGAAAAATAATCCAAATACAATTTTTGTTAATTGAATTTAAGTATTTTTATGAATTGTTTGTTATTCTATTTAAATAAAGATCCAATGTTGTGACAGCTAATTCAAAATAAGAAAGATTAAATTTATAAAAATTATCATACTTTAATAAAAGTAGAGAGTCATTTATATTTTTATGCACAATTATTAATATAAATTATTCTTTCCTACTGCAAATTACTTAAGTAGAAAGAGGCTGATTAAATTTAAAAATAATAATTTAAGCATAAATTAATGGTATAATAGTACCAAAAAAGTTTATTCCAGAACTAATTTAAATTAAAGAAATAAAATTCATTATTATAATTAAACTCATAATTAATTTTAAAATAGTTTAATAATTAGATCAAATATAATTTAATCAATATATAGCTATTCCTGCTTTTGAAATATCATGAACCATTATATCATGATTTGTGATATTTCAAATATTACCTAAATATCTAAAATTTCAGTGTATAGCCTTGAAAAAGGCAATACCCTCGGGTACTATACATATATATAAATATTAAGATTTAATAATCAAGGTTATACTAATTTTTTGTGATTTCTCTAGCTAAAATAAATTTACAAATTCATATAATTTATTTGTTCTTTTTATTAACTTATAATAAATTAAATTTCATTTAATTGCTATTCAATATTTTTGAAAGAAAAAAATAAATGAAATAGATTAAATATTATTACGAATTCAAACAAGTAATTATTTATTTTTTAAATAAATTTTCTTTAAATTTATTTTTACTAATATTAAAAGTTTTAAAATTCTTAGCATTAATCTCATTAGGTTCTCCATATTGAGCTGAAGTATATTTAATTTATAAATATGATTAATATAAATAATATTTTCTACATATTTAACTTTTCCTATATTAAAAATTTTTTTTCTAAAAGAAATTATAGTTTAGATTAGTAAATTTTATTTACTAATATTTTTATTTATTTCAACTTATTTTAAATTAAATTTTTTAATTTATTATCTATTTTTTATTGATTTTTTCCTTCTAAAACTTATACTTGATAAAAACAGTTTAATAGTTTTGGATTGTGATATTTTTACTTATAAAATTGTATTTAAAACAATATAGCTCTTTTAATTTATTTATTAATATTTTACTTTATTTACTTTTCTTTTTTATAGTAATTGTGTGTTTTTTTTTTCTTTTATCTTTCTTAATTTAACTCATTTTTTTATTTTCAACAATTATTTTATTATTTTTAATTAATTTCTTATTATTTCTTCATTTTTCCTTCTAATAGCAAGTTAATTATATATTTTTTCTTCAATATTAAAAAGTTATAACAAAATTGATGATTAAGGTGGATCAGGCTTGTGTTCTGCTTTAGCAAATTGCACTAATCTCTCAAAATTGGCACTTTCTCTTAGGTAAAAACAGTTTATTTGTTTTGGATTGTGACATTACTATTTATAAAAAATAAATTTAAAACAATAAGATTCTTTTTTTTTATTTATTAGCTTTTCATTTGACTTACTTTCCTTTACTTTTTTATTTATTGAACTTGTGTTTTATTTTCTTTTATCTTTCTTTATTTAACTCATTTTTTTATTTTCAACAATTATTTTATTATTTTTTAATTAATTTGTTATTATTTCATTTTATTTCTTCATTTTTTCCATCTAATAACTAATTAATTAAAAACTTTTTCTTCAATATTAAAAAGTGGAAACAAAATTGGTGATGGAATGGAATTTACTCGCACATGAAACATGCACTCAGAAAACATCTTAAAAATAATTTTTTATTTATTCATTTATTTATTTATTTTTATATTATTTTTATTTAATTTTTTTTTATATATATTTTTATTTAATTTTTTTTTATTTATATTTTTATAAATATTTTTTTTTATATATATTTTACTTATTTATTATGATTTAGTCAACCAATAATATATTTTTATTATAGATTTTTGACTATATATTGCAATTTGCACCCAGAATATCACAAAAAATTTTAAAAGTGGGTGGGTGTTAATTGATAAGAGCTTACAGTATTTAAGATTTTTATGTTAACATATATTTAGCTAAATAATATTTAGTAAGAACATTTTTAAGTTAATTTCAAATAAAATTCAAAATTCGACAAAAAAATTATTAAAATGTAAATAATTTAAATAAAATACTATAAGACTAAAGTATAAACATATAAGTATGTATGCCTTTAATAAAAGAAAAATATATCAAAATATCCTTTAATTTGAATTATTATAATGCAATATATACAGACCTAATTAATACTTTTCTTAAAGTATTTATTTTATACAAATTTATAAGTAAATTAATAAAGCAAAATCCTTTTTCCTGTTCTACACAGGTAAGTAATTTTATAGTCACTTTAAATGAAAATACTTCATATAAATATGCTTTATTAATTCCCAAGTAAAAGCTAAAAATAAAATAAAAAGTAAGTCATAATTTCCATAAAACTTTCTAAATGCAATCAAGCAAAGGTTGTTAAAAATAAATAAATAAATGAATACTAAACTTATTTAAAATATATTTATAAAATTAATTTTACTTTTGAAGAATAATGAATTTACTGTATTAATAAATTCTCCATAAAGTAGAATAAAATTTATTTTTTTTAGTTTTTATTCTGAAGTTTATCAATTTAAAAAATCTTCTGGAAGCAAATCACTTTTTTTCTATTAAATTTAAAACTAAGTATGGAAAGATTTATCATTAACATCAAATTAGTTAATAAATGACATTTTAATTTTAACTATCCTATATGATAAAAAATATTTAAAATAATTTATTTAAATGAAATAGATATCTTGAAGTGTTAATGGTTAGCTTAGATATGTAATAGATGCTTCGTTATATCTATTTATAAAATATGTAGAGATATCAAACCATTAATTTTTATACAAAGTTTATTTAATTTGTGGCTTTTGATTGATCAAAACCATAAATTTAATTAATAAATTCAAATATAAATCAAAAATTTTTTTTCATAACTCTGGTAATTATTTCAGATCATTAACTTTTTTTGGGTGTTTTTGTACATAAATTTAATTAATTAGGAATTTATATTTTTTCCTATTTCCATATCTAAGGGAAATAAGTATATCATAATTTAAACAACTTTTTCCATGTAAAAAAAATATTTTCAGACATAAAGAAAATAGAGTTTAAAATTTAGCAGTAAAATTTAATCTCCAATATTTTGTTTTCTAAAAATTAGTTTGATATATTTTATAAAATAAAAAAATAATATTTACAAATTAGCATCAATAATTGCAAAATGTTACAATCTATTATATTCTTTGAGTATACAGTAAAAAATTATTTATTCTAATCAAAATTTTATTTCATATCTTTTATTACTAATTAATTCTGATTATTTAACTTCTAACTTGAAATAGAATTTTATAGTTAATCTTAAAATTACAAAACATTTATCTGATGAGTTATATCTAATCATCTTTTAAAACTGTCTTGATTTAAAATCTAAAAATAATATTATTATTTTATTATCTATTAATTCTTTCAATTATATTTATCACCTCTAATTTAACCCGTATTTTTAAATATTTGAGGCTTATAATTAAATGATTGTATTAATGTATACAGATTAATTTTATTACTAAAATTGTATCTTTCAATAAATAAAATTATAATTTAAGATAAACAATAAATTAGCTGGCTAAACTTTTCTTATTAATTTAAAAAATTAGTTTTTGCTTATAAAAAATTCACTATTCCTAATTAAAATCCGCCACGCTTTATAGACTTAGACATTTTTACTAAAAACATTAAAAATAAAAAATCAAATACAAAAAAAAACTACTTGCTTTTAATAAATGCTCAAGCTAACATCAAAGAATTTATCTGAATGAACATGAAAAACTATTTAGATAAATGGTTTTCTTTGAGAACTTGTAAAAGATTAAGGAACATAACAGTAACCCTAATAACACTTATTCTACCCATTTAAACTAATTCTCAGATATGAATAAAGTAGAATTTACAGAAAAAATTCTTATGAAATAAGATTTGGTTGACCATTTAATGAATGGAATCAGTTAAGAGGCAACTAATTATTATATTAATAATGAAAATTAACTTAATTCAAAAAGCCTTACTTTAGCTGCTTCAATAGACTGAAGAGAAAAAGGTGCTGTAATATCTGTTCAGTACTAAGGTTATTGTGGTTGATGCTGGAGTTTCTCTGCAGCTGGCTTAGTGGAGTCATTTAACTTCATTTAAAACCAAGCTTTAGTTGATTTTTCTGAGTAATAACTCGTTGATTGTGTCATCCCTGTAAATGGTTACTACTCTTATGGATGTACTGGTGGCCTCCAAAGTAGAAATCCTACACTAGATGAGCTAAAAATAATTAAATTAAAAACTATGTATAAAACAAACATTTATATTCTGATACATTTTGATATATAATATGAAAATAGTGTGTCATCAAAGTATTGATTGAAAAATTTTGTGCTAAAATTAAAAAAATTTCATAAAAACTTTCTAAATAAACCAATGTTAAAAATGAATTAATGAATACTAAACCTATATAAAATATATTTAAAAAATTAATTTTATTTTTTTAAAATAGTTAATTTATTGTGTTAATTAAATCTCTATGATAGAGAATAAAATTTATTTTTTTTAGCTTTTATTCTTAATTTCATTTATTGAAAAAACCTTCTGAAAGTAAATCACTTTTTTTCTATCAAATTTAAAGCAAAATGTTTAAAGGATAAAAGCCATTTTAATTTTAAACTATCCTAAATGATAAAAATTATTTAAAATAGCTTATTTAAATTAAATAGATATGTCTAAGTATTAATGGTTACTATTAAAATGTAATGATGCTTTGTTATATTTTGTTAAATGTTTTTGTAAAGTATGTATATATATCAAAAATCATTAATTTGTATACAATTTTTATGTAATTTGTGGCTATTTGATTGATTAAAGTCATGAATTTAAGTAATAAATTTGAATTTTAATCAAAAATTTTATTTGTGGATATGGTTCATATTTCAGATCATTAACTATAGTTGAGTGTTTTTCGGTATTTAAGTAATTAGGAATTTAGACTATATCCTAACTCCCTTATGTAAGAAGAAATAAGTATATCTTAATTTAAACATCTTTTTACATATAAAAAAAATATTTTAAATTAGCTAAAAAATGACATTTTAATTTTAAACTATCCTAAATGATAAAAATTATTTAAAATAGCTTATTTAAATAAAATAGATATGTCTAAGTATTTATTGTTACTATTAAAATGTAATAGATGTTTTGTTATATATATTTGTAAAATATGTAGAGATATCAAAATCATTAATTTTTATACAATGTTTGTGAAATATGTAGCTATTTGATTTATCAAAGTCATGAATTTAATTTAATAAATTTGAATTTTAATCAAAAATTTTATTTGCGGTTACTCTTCTTATTTCACATCATTAACTATAGTTGAGTGCTTATCCATGAATTTAAGTAATTAGGAATTAAAACTATACCCTAACTTCCTTAACTAAGAAGAAATAAGTATATCATAATTTGGACATCTTTTACATGTAAAAAAAATATTTTCATACACAAAGAAAACAGAGTCTAAAATTACAAATAAAATTTAGATATGTATTATAAAATAAAAATATTACTTACTAAATTATCATCAATAATTGTAAAATGTTACAATTTATTATTTAGTTTGAGTTTTTAGGTTAAAAATTGTTTATTCTTATCAAAATTTTATTTCATAACTAAAGTAATTAATTAATTTTGACAATATTATTTCTAACTTCAAATAGAATTTTATAGTTAATTCTAATATGATGACACATTGATCTAATAAATTATATCTAATCATCTTTTAAAATTTTTTTGATTTAAAATCTAAAAATAATATTATTTTATTCTTTATCATTTCTTTCAATACTGTTTATGACCTTTAATTTAATCCATATTTTTAAATATTTGAGACTTATTATTAAATGGTTTTATTAACGTATGTAGATTAATTTTATTACTAAAACTATATTTTTCAATAAATAGAATTGTGATTTAAGAAAGTAAGAAAAATTAGTTAGGCTTATTAAAAATTCACTATCCAAATTATAACTCCTAGGCTTTAAATACTTAGAAACATTACTTAAAAAATTAAAGAATAAAAAAATAAAAAAATAAAATACAAAAAAAATAAAATAAAACTAAAACTTTAAATAAAGTATGAATAGATTGATCCTTTTAAGTATTATCATGCTCATGCCTCTCTGTTTGGCTCAAAATATAACTGTAGAAAAACTCCTTGCTTATAATTAATGGTAAAGCTAACATCAAAGAATTTATCTGAATGAACATGAAAAACTATATAGACAAATGGTTTTCTTTGAGAAATTGTAAAAGATTAATGAACATAACAACAATTCTAATAACACATATTCTATCCATTTAAACTAATTCTCAGATATGACTAAAGAAGAATTTACTCAAAAAATTCTTATGAAATAGGATTTGGCTGACCATTTAATGAAAGCAGGTAGTTAAGAGGCAACTCATAATGATGTAAATATCGAAGCTAAACTGAATTCAAAAAACTCCACTTTAGCTACTTCAATAGACTGGAGAACAAAAGGTGCAGTAACATCGGTTAAAAATTAAGGTAATTGTGGTTCATGCTGGAGTTTCTCTGCAACTGGCTTAATGGAATCATTTAATTTCATTTAAAACAAAGCTTTAGTTGAATTTTCTGAGTAATAACTCCTTGATTGTGTCACCCCTGCAAATGGTTACAGAATTCATGGATGTGATGGAGGATGGCCTGCTTACTGTGTAGACTATGCTTCCAAAGTAGGTCTCACTACCTTAAAGAAATATCCCTATGTTGGAGTTTAGAATAATTGTAATGTGACAGGCACAAATAATGGTTTTAAGCCTAAAAAGTGGAATTAAGTTCCTAACACTTCGAATGACTTAAAAACTGCTTTGAATTTCTCTCCTGTTTCTGTTCTTGTTGATGCTAACAATTGGGATGGTTATTAGTCTGGAATTTTCAACGGGTGCGATTAATCTCTTATTATTCTTAACCATGCTGTATTAGCTGTTGGCTATGACAAACATGATAACTGGATTGTTAAAAATTCTTGGGGACCTTAATGGGGTGAAAATGGTTATATGAGACTTGCTCCTAACAACACCTGCGGTATCCTAAAATATAATATTTAAATTACTGCTTGAAAATTTGGATATGATATTATAATTAAAATTTATGAAATTATATTATTCGTATAAATATTATATAAAATAGTAAACATTAGAATTAAATTAGCTTTATATATAAATTCATTTAAATTACATTAAATTAATAAAAATATTGCTAATCCTGTAATTAAAATATCACCAACTTTTTATATACATATGGTGATATTTTATTTAATTTATATGATTTTAAGCTAATTTAACTCTTTCTATTTTTTAATTTTTTTTTACAACCTGTTTAGAAATATTTTTTAAATGAAAATTTTATTTTTAAGATCAAATTAAAAATAAAAATTCCTAATATAAATAATAAATAAAATTAATCCTCATTAATTATATCGAATATCCAACCATATTTTATACTTTTTTAAGCATCCTACTTAATTAATTCAAATCATTTTTTTCTAAACATAAAAGTAGAGCAATTTTTTATTTTAAAAATAATTTATTATTATTAATAGAATTATAAATATATAATAATTTATTTATTCTTCATCCATAATTTAAATAGATAGTGTTAGCATTCAAATAAAATTAATAAAAATCACTTATCCAAATTAAAAAAACAAAAACTGAAATTCATATTTTCATTCAATTGTGAATGAAACTTTCCATATTTTTGTTGCTTGAAAATACTGGAATACATATCAAATTTTGAAAATTCAGAGTTATTTTTTGAAATTTATGCAAAAAATTTTTCAATAATGTAAATTTAAAGTATCTAGTCAAACTTTATTAATTTTAATTTAAAATTTACTTTAGAAAATCATAAAAATAAAAAATGATCTTGGAAAATTAAAAATAACCTCTTTATCAAGGCATTAGAGAAAATTTTTTAAAATTATTATTTAAAAACCTTAATATAAATCAAAAGCCAGTGAATCTTAGTAAGAAGTCTTAATATAAACTAGACAGTATAAATTCAATGAATAAGTTTAGATTAAATAATTATGTAGTTAGTTTTTGTTGAATTTTTATGTAAAATCAATTTACTTTATTATATTTTATCAAGTTATTTTGAAATATAAATTATTATTTTTTAATATTTATAAATTTTATGTTAATTTAAATAAATTTTTGTTTTTAAAACTAATTGAATCTTAATATTTGAATGACATTTTATATAAAATAATAGTTTATACGAATAATATATTTTAATTATAATAGATTATCCAGATTTTTCAAGCAGTAACTTAAAGATTATAGCTTAATATACCGCATGTGTTATTAGGAGCAAGTCTCATATAGCCATTTTCACCCCAATAAGTGCTCCAAGAATTTTTAATAATCCAGTTTCCTTGTTAGTCATAGCCAACAGCTAATACAGCATGATTAAGACTAATATGTAATTAATCACATCCGTTGTAAATTCCAGAATAATAATTACCCCAAGTGGAAGCATCAACAAGAACAGAAACAGGAGAGAAATTTAAAGCACTTTTTAAGTCATTAGAAGTGTTAGGAATTTAAATCCAGCTTTTAGGCTTAAACCCATTATTTGTACCAGTCACATTACAATTATTCTAAACTGCAACATAGGGATACTTGTCTAGGGTAGTGATACCAACTTTGGAGGCATAATCCAGACATTAAACAGGCCATCCTCCATTACATCCATAAGAGTTGTAACCATTTGCAGGGATGACACAGTCAACAAGTTATTACTCAGAAAAATCAACTAAAGCTTTGTTTTAAATGAAGTTAAATGACTCCATTACTGCAGCTGCAGAGAAACTCCAGCATGAACCACAACCGCCTTAATTCTTAACTGATGTTACAGCACCTTTTGTTCTCCAGTCTATTGAATCAGCTAAAGTAAGGCTATTTGAACTCAATTAAGTTTCGTTATTATTAGTATCATTATGAGTTGCCTCTTAACTGATTCCTTTCATTAAATGGTCAACAAAATCAGATTTCATAAGAATTTTTTCAGCAAATTCTTCTTTAGTCATATCTGAGAATTAGTTTAAATGGACAGAATAGGTGTTATTAGGATTGTTGTTATGTTCCTAAATCTTTTACAAGTTCTCAAAGAAAACCATTTGTCTAAATAGTTTTTCATGTTCATTCAGATAAACTCTTTGATGTTAGCTTGACCATTTATTATAAGCAAGAAGTTTTTCTACACTTATATCTTGAGCCAAGCAGAGAGGCATGAGCATGATAATACTCAAAAGGATCAATTTATTCATACTTTACTTAAAGTTTTAGTTTTATTTTTATTTTTATTTTTTTTATTTTATTTTATTTTTTTATTCTTTAATGTTTTGAGTATAAATGTCTAAGTATATAAAGCATAGCCAATTTCAATTTATAATAGTGAATATTTTATAAACAAAAACTAATTTTTCTTCAGTAAGAAAAATTTAACCAAATTTATAATTGTTTATCTTAAATTCTAATTTTATTTATAGAAAAATATAATTTTAGTAATAAAATTAATCTGCATACATTAATAAAACTATTTAATTATAAGCCTCAAATATTTAAGAATATGAGTTTAATTAGATATGATAAATATAATTTAAAGAATTGATAGATAATAAAATAATATTATTTTTAGATTTTAAATCAAGAAATTTTTAAAAGATTATTAGATAAAATTTATTAGATCAATATGTCGTCATTTTAGAATTAATTATTCAATTCTGTTTCAAGCTAGAATTTATAGTATGAATTAATTAATAATTATAGTTATGAAATTATATTTTGAAAAGAATAAACAATTTATAACCTAAAAACTCAAACTAAATAATAAATTGTAACATTTTGCAATAATTGATGTTAATTTAGTAAGTAATATTTTGTATTTAATAATACATATCATACTAATTTTTAGAAAACAAAATATTGGAGATTAAGTTTTACTGCTAAATTTTAGACTCTATTTTCATTATGTATGAAACTATATTTTTATGTAAAAAGGTGTTTAAATTATGATATACTTATTTTTCCTAAGATATGGAAATTAGGATATTATATAAATTCCTAGTTACTTAAATTCATGTAAAAAACACTTCAATTATTAGTTAATGATCTAGAACCAAGAAATATAATTTTTGATTAAAATTTGAGTTTATAATATTCAATTCATGGTTTTAATCAATCAAATAGCAACGTCAACGTGTTAAATAAAGATTGTATAAAAATTAATGATTTTTGAAATTTCTACTTGTTTTATATATAGATACAATAAAGTAATTATTACATTTCGATTGTAACAATTAATACTTCGAGATATCTACTTCTTATAAATAAATTATTTTAAATAATTTTTATCATTTAGGATAATTTAAAATTAAAATGGCATTTATTAATTAATTTTATGTTCCGATTAACCTTTAAACACTTTATTTTAAATTTTATAGAAAAAAAAGATATTTACTTTCAGAAGATTTTTTCAATTAATGAAATTAAGAATAAAAGCTAAAAAAATTAATTTTTTTTCTTTTTTGAGGAGATTTATTTACTACAATAAATTCACTATTTTTCAAAAATAAAATTATTTATATAAATATATTTTAAATAGGTTTACTATTTATGCTATATTGAATTTTTAAATTTTTTATGAAAATTATGCAGTACTTTTTATAATTTTATTTTAGCTTTAACTTGGGAATTAATAAAATATATTTATATGAACAATTTTCATTTAAATTTACTATAAAATAACTTACCAATATATAACAGTAAAAAGGATTTTGCTTTATTATATAACTTATAAATATGTATAAAATAAATACTTCTTTAAGAATTATTTAAAATATTTGCAAAACGTATAATTAGGTTATTACTTATTTTGATATATTTTTCTTTTATTAAAAACTTATTTATTTGTTTATACATTAATCTTACGATATTTTATTTAAATTATTTACGTTTTAATAATTATTTGATTAATCTTTGAATTTTATTGAAATTTTCTTAAAATGTTTTTTTCTTAGTATTAACTAAATATATTTTTAAAATTCTAAAAATATTGTTTTATAAGCAATATTTAAATAATATTTACCTCACTCATTATTATTATGATTTTAAAATTAAATAACGTATCATTTTTAGAAATAGATTATTAAGTTTATTTAAATTATTATAAACTAAATATAAATTATTCTGAAAATATTAAAATACTATTATATAAATTTATTTAATATTATATTGATTTCTATTAGAAAGATAAACAGTTATAGGTGTAACTTATCACTATTTATCTCTCTATTACAAAAAAAAAAATCTGCAAATAGCAATATAAATAAATATGAAAATTTATTTTTGTAACAAAAAAATAATTTACTTGATCAGCTTGCTTTTTCTTCTTTCTTTGTTAATTAAGTCACTGTTTTATTTTAAACTTTTTCTTTTATTATTAATTATTCAAATTATTTCTTTATTTTTTCCTTCTAATTAACTATTTAAAATATATTTTTTTTAAAGTGATCAAGTATTTTAAAAAAAGCAAATTACTATAATTTAATATATTTTATCAAGCTATTTTGAAATATAAATTATTATTTTTTAATATTTATTAATTTTAATTTTTATTTCTAAAGCTAGTCGAACCTTAATATTTGAATGACGATTTTATATAATATTATATTTTATACGAATAAAATAATTTAATAAATTTTAATTATAATAACTTATCCAAATTTTTCAAGCAGTAACTTAATAAATATGGGTTAAGATACCGCATGTGTTATTAGGAGCAAGTCTCATATAGCCATATTCACCCCAAAAGGCTCCCCAAGAATTTTTAACAATCCAGTTTCCTTATTCATCATAGCCAACAGCTAATACTTCATGATTAAATACAATATTAGGTTATCACATCCGTTGTAAATTCCAGACTTATAACCACCCCAATTATAAGCATTAACATAAACAGAAACAGGAGAGAAATTCAAAGCACGTTTTAAGTCATTTGAAGTGCTTGGAACTTAAATCCACTATTTAGGCTTAAAGCCATTATTTGTGCCAGTCATATTACAATTTTTCTAAACTGCAATATAGGGATAATTGTCTAAGGTAGTGATACCTACTTTAGAGGCATAATCCAGAGATTCAACAGCAAATCCTCCATTACATCCTTAAGAGTAGTAACCATTTGCAGATATGACACAATCAACAAGTTATTGCTCTGAAAAATCAACCAAAACTTTGTTTTAAATGAAGTTAAATGACTCCATTAAGGCAGCTCCAGCGAAACTCCAGCACGAACCACAGTTACCTTAGTATTTAACTGAAGTTACAGCACCTTATGTTCTCCAGTCTATTGAAGCAAGTAAGGTTTTTTGAATTCAATTAAGTCTCGATATTAACATCATTATGAGTTTCCTCTTAACTGATTCCTTTCATATAATGGTCAACCAAATCCTATTTCATAAGAATTTTTTCAGCAAATTCTTCTATAGTCATATCTGAGAATTAGTTTAAACAGATAGAATAGGTGTTATTAGGATTACTGTTATGCTCCTTAACCTTTTACAAGTTCTCAAAGAAAACCATTTATCTAAATAGTTTTTCATGTTCATTCAAATAAACTCTTTGATGTTAGCTTGACCATTTATTATAAGCAAGAAGTTTTTCTACAGTTATATCTTGAGCCAAAAAGAGAGGTATGAGCATGATAATACTCAAAAGGATCAATCTATTCATACTTTATTTAAAGTTTTAGTTTTTTTTTTTGGATTTTATTTTATATTTTTTAATGCTTTGAGTATAAATGTCTACCTAAGTATATAAAGCAAGGCGAATTTCAATTTGGAATAGTGAATTTTTTAAAAGCCAAAACTAAATTTTTATTCAGTAAGAAAAATTTAACCAACTTTTTTATTGTTTATCTTAAATTGTAATTTTATTTATTGAAAAATATAATTTTAGTAATAAAATTAATCTGAATACTTTAATAAAACCATTTAATTATAAACCTCAAATATTTAAAAATATGAGTTAAATTAGTGGTGATAAATAGAATTGAAAAAATTGATAGTGAATAAAATAATATTATTTTTAGATTTTAAATCAAGTAAATTTTAGAAGACAATTTGTTAAAATTTATCTAATAAATTTGTTGTCATTTTATAATTCACTACAAAATTCTATTTGAAATTTGAAATAATATAATCAGAATTAATTAGTAATTTAGTTATGAAAGTATTTATTAAAAATAATAAACAATTTTCAAATTAAAAACTCAAGCAAAATTATAGATTGTAACATTTTGCAATTATTGATGTTAATTTAGTAAGTAATACTTTTTATTTTATAATACATTTCGTACTAATTTTTAGAAAAAAAAATATTGTAGATTAAATTTTACTACTAAATTTTAATCTCTATTTTCTTTATGCATGAAAATATTTTTTTTATGTAAAAATGTGTTTAAATTATGATATGCTTATTTCTCCTTAGATATGGAAATTAGGATTTTATATAAATTCCTAATTATTTAAATTAATGCAAAAAACACTTAACAATAAGTTAAGGATCTGAAATAATAATCAGAGCCACGAAATATAATTATTGATTAAAATTAGAATTTATTAAATTTAATTATTTTTTTAATCAATCAAATAGACATAAATTAATAAAAAATGTATAAGAATTAATTATTTTTGATGTCTCTAATTGTTTTTATATAGATATAATAAAGCAATTATTACATTTTGATAGTTACCATTAATACTTAGAGATATCTATTTCATTTAAATAAATTATTTTAAATAACTTTTATCATTTAGGATAGTTTAAAATTAAAATGGCATTTATTAATTAATTTTATGTTCCGATAAACCATTAAAAAAACACTTTGTTTTAAATTTTATAGAAAAAAAGTGATTTGTTTTCAGAAGATTTTTTCAATTAAAGAAATTAAGAATAAAAGTTAAAAAAGTAAATATTATTCTTTGTTACGGAAATTTAATTACTACAAAAAATTCACTATTTTTTAAAAGTAAAATTAATTAATTTTCTAAATGCATTTTAAAGTTATATGAAATTTAGAAAGTTTTTATGAAAATTATTTTATGTTTATAACTTTATTTTTTGGGAATTAATAAAATATTTGTATATGAACAATTTTCATTTAAATTTACTTAAAAGTTATTTAATTGTATAGAACAGGAAAAAAGATTTTGCTTTATTATTTTACTTAAAAATTTGTATAAAATAAATACTTCTTTAAGAATTTTTAAAAATATTTGCAAAAAGTGTTAATTAGGTTATTATATATTGAATTATTAATATTTCAAATTAAAGGATATATTGATATATTTTTCTTTTATTAAAAACATAATTATTTGTTCATATATTAGTCTTATGATATTTTATTTACATTTTAATAATTTTTTCATCAAATTTTCAATCTAAAATTCAAATGATTCTATTTTAAAACAAAACCTCATATAACAACCCCCCAGTTAATACATTGAATAAACCTCAAATATTTAAAAATATGCATTAAGTTAGAATTGATAAATATAATTGAAAACATAAATTGATAATAAAAATAATATTATTTTTAGATTTTAAATCTAGAAGCTTTTAACAGATTATTAGATTCAATTTAGCAGATCTATATTAAAAAATAAAAATATATACTATAAAATTCTATTTCAAGAAGAAAGTATTTTGTCAGAATTAATTAGTAATTGCATTTAAGAAATACAATTATAATAAATTTAAGCAATTTTTAACTAATTTACTCAAACAATTTAATAGAGTAACATTTTGCAACTACTGATACTAATTTAATAGATAATATTTTTTGTTTTATAATACATATCATTCAAATTTATAGAAATTAAGATATTGACACTTAAATTTTACTGTTGAATATTTGACTTTATATTATGTATGAACACATTTTTTTACATAGAAATTGATGTTTAAATTATGATATACTTACTTATTTCTTTAGATATGAAAGTTAGAGTATAATTTAAATTCTTAATGACTTAATTTATCTATAAAAACACTCTATTGTAAGCTAATGGACTGTAATGAGCATGAAATTCGTAAAATATAATTTTTGATTATATTCGAACTTATTATATTAAATTCATGCTTTTGGTCAATCAAATAAATTCGAATTAAATAAACTTTCAATAAAACTTTATGATTTTTTATATCTTTAATGGTTTTATATATAGCCGTGATAAAGCAGCTTTTCCATTTCAATATTAACTAATAATATTTCGAGAAATTTATTTCATTTAAATAAAGCATTTTAAATAATCTTTATCATTTAGGATATAATATATTAATTAAATTCATACTCCTGATAAATCTTTGAAAATTTTCTTTTAAATTTTATAGATAAAAGCTGATTTACTTTCTTATGATTTTCAATAAGTGAAATTATGAATAAAAGCAAAAAAAATAAATTTTATTCTCAATTATGGAGATTTAATTAACACAATAAATTCAATATTTTTCAAAAGTAAAATTAATTTAATAAGTATATTTTAAATAGGTTTAGTAAGCATTAATTATTTCTAATAGTTATTGTTTTATTACATTTAAACTTTTTTATGAATATTTAATAAAAGCATAAAGAAGACAGGTAAATGATTAAAACAAATAAAATTATAATTTTTTTAATTTATATTAAAATTTTAGTAATCTATTTCTTTTAAATATTTTTTTAAGATAACGTTTACAAATTATCTAATTTCTAATAATTAAATAATAATTTTAAGTAATATATTTAATAACTAAATTTAAAATATTTCTAAAATTTTAATTAAAAAAAATATTATATTACTAACATTTAATAATTAAACTTTATTTAATTTTAAAATCTAATAATGTACAAATAATGAATGAGTGAGGAAATATTATTAAACATTTTATTTGTTTATTATACAATATTTTAAAAATTTTTATATTTAATTAATACTAAGAAAAAAATATTTTAAGAGAATTTCAATTAAATCTCCATAATAGAGAAAAAAAATTTATTTTTTAGCTTTTAATCTTAATTTCATTAATTGAAAAAATCTTCTGAAAACAAATCATTTTTTTTCTATAAAATTTAAAATAAAGTGTTTAAACGTTTATCGGACACAAAATTAATTAATAAATACCATTCTAATTTTAAATTATCCTAAATGATAAAAATTATTTAAAATAATTTATTAATATGAAACAGATATCTCTAAATTTTAATTGTTACTATCGAAATGTAAAAATTGCTTTATCATATCTATATATAAAGCAAGTAGAGATATCAAAAATCATTAATTTTTATACAATCATTTAACACGTTGCTATTTGATTGATTAAAACCATGAATTGAATATAATAAACTCGAATTTTAATCAATAATTATATTTATTGGTTTTAGATCATTAACTTATAGTTGAGTGTTTTTTCCATGAATTCAAGTAATTAGGAATTTATATAATATCTTAACTTCCTTATCTAAGGAAAAATAAGTTTATCATAATTTAAACAACTTATTAGGTAAAAAATATTTTCATAAATAAACAAAATTGAGTCTAAAATTAAGCAATTAAACTTAATCTCCAATATTTTGTTTTCTAAAAATTAGTATGATATGTATTATTAAATACAAAATATTACTTACTAAATTAACATCAATTATGGCAAAATGTTACTATTTATTATTTTGTTGAGTTTTTAGGTAATAAATTGTTCATTATTTTCAAAATACAATTTCATAACAATAATTATTAATTAATTCATACTATAATTTCTAGCTTGAAACAGAATTGAATAATTAATTCTAAAATGACGAAATATTGATCTAATAAATTTTATCTAATAATCTTTTCAAACTTTCTTTTGATATAAAATCTAAAAATAATATTATATTATTATCTATCAATTCTTTCAATTATATTTATCATCTTTAATTAAACCCATATTATTAAAAATTTGAGGCTTATAATTAAATAGTTTTATTAATGTATGTAGATTAATTTTATTACTAAAATTATATTTTCTAATAAATAAAATTACAATTTAAGATAAACAATAATAAATCTGGTTAAATTTTTCTTACTGAAGAAAAATTAGTTTTTATTTATAAAAAATTCTCTATTACAAATTGAAATTGGCTATGCTTTATATACTTAGCCATTTTTACTCAAAACATTAAAGAATAAAAAAATAAAATAAAAAAAAATAAAAATAAAAAAAATAAAACTAAAACTTTAATAAAGTATGAATAGATTGATCCTTTTGAGTATTATCATGCTCATGCCTCTCTGCTTGGCTCAAGATATAAGTGTAGAAAAACTTCTTGCTTATAATAAATGGTCAAGCTAACACCAAAGAGTTTATCTGAATGAACATGAAAAACTATTTAGACAAATGGTTTTCTTTGAGAACTTGTAAAAGATTTAGGAACATAACAGTGATTCTAATAACACCTATTCTGTCCATTTAAACTAATTCTCAGATATGACTAAAGAAGAATTTGCTGAAAAAATTCTTATGAAATCTGATTTGGTTGACCATTTAATGAAAGGAATCAGTTAAGAGGCAACTCATAATGATACTAATAAAGAAACTTAGTTGAATTCAAAAGGCCTTTCTTTAGCTGATTCAATAGACTGGAGAACAAAAGGTGCTGTAACATCGGTTAAGAATTAAGGTAATTGTGGTTCATGCTGGAGTTTCTCTGCAGCTGCAGTAATGGAGTCATTTAACTTCATTAAAAACAAAGCTTTAGTTGATTTTTCTGAGTAATAACTTGTTGATTGTGTCATCCCTGCAAATGGTTACAACTCTTATGGATGTAGTGGAGGATGGCCTGCTTCTTGTCTGGATTATGCCTCCAAAGTAGGTATTACTACCCTAGACAAGTATCCCTATGTTGCAGTTTAGAAAAATTGTAATGTGACTGGTACAAATAATGGATTTAAGCCTATAAGCTGGATTTAAATTCCTAACACTTCTAATGACTTAAAAAGTGCTTTGAATTTCTCTCCTGTTTCTGTTGTTGTTGATGCTTCCACTTGGGGTAGTTATTATTCTGGAATTTTCAACGGATGTGATTAATCTCATATTAGTCTTAATCATGCTGTCTTAGCTGTTGGCTATGACTAACAAGGAAACTGGATTATTAAAAATTCTTGGAGCACTTATTGGGGTGAAAATGGCTATATGAGACTTGCTCCTAACAACACATGCGGTATCTTAAGCTATAATTATTAAGTTACTGCTTGAAAAATCTGGATAATCTATTATAATTAAAATATATTATTCGTATAAACTATTATTTTATATAAAATAGTAATTCAAATATTAAGATTCGATTTATTTTAAAAATAAAAATTAATTTAAATTAACATTAAATTAATAAATATTAAAAAATAATAATTTATATTTCAAAATAGCTTGACAAAATATATTAAAGTAAATTTATTTTTATAAAAAAAGTTCAACAAAAATTAACTACAAAATTAATTATAGCACTTCCAGGATTATAATTATTGTGTAGAGCTCGGCAAGAATAGTTATCTTGAAATTACTGAAATAGTTTAATTGTTTTTAAGAATATTAATATTAAAATTAAATATTTAAGCCCTTTTTTATTATTTTTGAAATAAAATTTATAATTTAAAATTACTTTATTTATTTTTTATAATTGTTTTATTAATTATAATTTTATATTTTAAATTAGTTTTTATTGAAGTTGAAATCAAATAAAAATAGTAAATTTTACTTAATTTTGTAGAAGCTTATAAATCTCAAGATAAATAATTAAGCAAAATCTATTTTCGTCTTCTCTATAGGTAAGTAAGTAAGTAACTTTATAGTGAATTTAAATGAAAATTATTAACATAAATTTATTCTATTAATTCCCAAATTAAATAAAACAGAATTTTCATAAAAAATTTCTAAATACAATAAAGCATAAACTGTTAAAAATGAATTAAGGCATAATAGACCTATTTAAGATATTTTTATTAAATTAATTTTACTTTTGAAAATATTGAATTTATTCAGTTAATTAAATCTCCATAATAGCATAATAGAGAATAAAATTTGTTTTTTTTTGTTTTTATTCTAATTTCATTAATTGAAAAAATAGTAAGAAAGCAAATCACTTTTTTTCTATAAAATTTAAAAGAAAATTTTGAAAGATTTATTAGGAGTATAAATTTAATTAATCCTAATGATAAAAATTATTTAAAATGATTTACTTAAATGAAATAAATTTATTGGAATATTATTGTTAACATCAAAAGGTATTAGATTCTTTATCATAGCTCTATATAAAACCAGTAAAGATATAAAAAATCATAAAGTTTATAAAAATTTTATTGAATTTAATTTAATAAGTTTGAATGTAAATAAAAAATTATATTTCATGAATCTCAATCTTATTACAGTTCATTAGCTTATAATAGAGTGTTTTTATATAAATTAAATCATTAAGAATTTATAGATATTCTAATTTGATATTTAAAGAAATAAGTATAACAAATTTAAACATCTATTCCAATGTAAAAAAATGTGTTCATACATAATAAAATAAAGTCAAAAACTCAACAGTAAAATTTAAGTTTCAATATCTTGTTTTCTAAAATTAGTAAGATATGTATAATAAAATAAAAATTATTATTTACTAAATTAATATCAGTAATTGCAAAATGTTACTCTATTATATTTTTTGGGTAAATAAGTTAAAAATTGTTTAGATTTATTATAATTTATTTCTTAAATGCAATTACTTATTAATTGTTATTATACATTTTCTTCTTGAAATATAATTTTATAATCAATTCTAAAATGATGTAATATAGACCTGATAAATTTAATTGAATTATATGTAAAAATCTTCTAGTTTAAAATATAAAAATAATATTATTTTTATTATTAATTTATGTTCTCAATTATATTTATAAACTATAATTTAATGATATTTTTAAATATTTGAGGTTTATATTCTATGTATTAACATATGTATGTTTAATATATTTAACAGTGTTTTTAAAAAATTTATTGTTAATAACTAAATATAAATTTTTTAAAAAAGAAATGTAATTTTGAATATTATTATACTACAATTTATAATAACCTTATGAATATTATTTGTAAACATTTTAAATAATTTTTAAAGAGTTTATTTTATACAATTTTATAAGTGTTAAAAATAATTAATCAAAATCTATTTTCGTCTTCTCTATAGGTAAGAAAGTAAATAACTTTATAGTGAATTTAATTGAAAATTATTGACAAAAATTTATTTTATTAATTCCTAAATTAAATAAAACAGAATTTTCATAAAAAATTTCTAAATACAATCAAGCTTAAACTGTTAAAAATGATTAAGGCATACTAGACCTATTTAAGATATTTTTATTAAATTAATTTTACTTTTTAAAAAAATTGAATTTATTCGGTTAATTAAATCTCTATAATCATAATAGACAATAAAATTTTTTTTTTACTTTTATTCTCAATTTCATTAATTGAATAAATCGTAAGAAAGCTAATCAATTTTTTTCTTTAAAATACAAAAGAAAATTTAGAAAGATTTATCAGGAAGGAGAATAAATTTAAGTAATAAATATATCCTAATGATAAAAATTATTTAAAATTATTTACTTAAATGAAATAAATTTCTCAGAATATTATTGTTAGCATCAAAAGGTATTAGCTTCTTAATCATGGCTCTATATAAAAACAGTAAAGATATAAAAATCATAAAGCTTGTAAAAAGTTTATTTAATTTGACTCTTTTGATTGATCAAAAGCATGAATTTAATTTAATAAGTTTGAATGTAAATAAAAAATTATATTTCATGAATCTCAATCTTATTACAGTTCATTAGCTTAAAATAGAATGTTTTTATGTAAATTAAATTATTAAGAATTTATAAGATATTCTAATTTTTATATTTAAAGAAATAAAATTATCAAATTAAACATTTGTTCTAATGTAAAAAAATGTGTTCATACATAATAAAATAAAGTCAAAAATTCAACAGTAAAATTTAAATTTCAATATCTTGTTTTCTAAAGATCAGTATGATATGTACAATAAAATAAAAATTATTATTTACTAAATTATTATCAGTAATTGCAAAATGTTACTTTTTTATATTGTTTGGGCAAATAAATTAAAAACTATTTAGATTTATAATAATTTATTTCTTAAATGCAATTACTTATTAATTCTGATTATACACTTTCTTCTTGAAATACAATTTTATAATCAATTCTAAAATAATGTAATATAGAAGTGATAAATTTAATGAATTACCTGTAAAAATCTTCTAGTTTAAAATCTAAAAATAATATTATTTTTGTTATCAATTTATGTTCTCAATTATATTTATTAACTCTAATTTAATGATATTTTTAAATATTTGAGGTTTATATTCAATGTATTAACATATGCATGTTTAATAATATTTAACAGTGTTTTTTAAAAATTTATTTTTATTACTCTCATAGAAATATCTAAAGTATTTGTTATAGTGTTAAATGATATCTAAGAGGGAATACAGTATAAGGTAGCTAATAGGATAGCTCAAATTTTTGTGGTTCCACACTCTTGGAAATAAGTATTCCCCTAAAATTTTTACTTTTCTCTATTTCCGCTTCTTACTATATTTGATTGATTAAAACCATGAATTAAATTAATAAATTTGAATACAAATCAACAATTATTATTTGTGTCTCAAGTTCTTATTTTAGATTATTAACTTAAAGTTGAGTGTTTTTACAAATAAATTTGAGTAATTAGGAATTTATATTAAACCCTAATTTTTGCATCTAAAGAAATAATTATATTATAATTTAAATATCTTTTTCCATGTAAAATAAATATTTTCATACATAAAGAAAATAAAGTTTAAAATTTAATCTTCAATATTTTGTTTTCTAAAAATTAGTATGATATCTATTATAAAATAAAAATTATTATTTACTAAATTAACATCAATAATTGCATAATGTTACAATCAATTATATCTATTATATTGTTTAAGTATATAGGCAAAAAATAGTTTATTCTTATCATAATTTTATTTCATAGATATAATTAGTGATTAATTCTACTTTAGATAGAATTTTATAGTTAATTCTAAAATGATAACATTATTGATCTGATAAATCTTATCTATTCAGCTTTTAAAATTTTCTTGATTTAAAATCTAAAAATAATATTATTTTATACTCTATCAACTCTTTCAATTATATTTATCACTTCTAATTTAATTCATATTTTTAAATATATGAGGCTAATAATTAAATGAATTTGTTAAGGCTTACAGATTTATTTTATTACTTAAATTATATTTTTCTTTCAATAAAATTTCAATTTAAAATAAACAATAAAAAACTGGTTAAATTTTTTGTTAAATTTTTCTTACTAATGATTAATTAGTTTAAGTTTATAAAAAATTCACTTTTCATATTGAAATTCGTCATACTTTATATACTTAGACATTTTTACTCAAAACATTAAAAATGAAAAAAATTAAATACAAAAAAAAAACTAAAACCAAAACTTTAAAGGATGAATAAAAAATTGATTCTTTTGAGTATTATCATGCTCATGCCTCTCTGTTTGGCTCAAAATATAAGCATAGAAAAACTCCTTACTTATAATAAATGGTCAAGCTAACATCAAAGGGTTTATCTGAATGAACATGAAAAACTATTTAGATAAATGGTTTTCTTTGAGAATTTGTAAAAGATTTAGGAACATAACAGTGATCCTAATAAAACCTATTCTATCCATTTAAACTAATTCTCAGATATGACTAAAGAAGAATTTGCTGAAAAAATTCTTATGAAATAGGATTTAGTTAACCATTTTATCAAAGAAATGGATTAATAAGTTACTCATAATGATTCTAATAGCGAAACTTAATTGAATTCAAAAAGCCTTACTATAGCTGCTTCAATAGACTGGAGGACAAAAGGTGCTGTAACATCGGTTAAGAATTAAGGTAGTTGTGGTTCGTGCTGGACTTTCTCTGCAGCTGCATTAATGGAGTCATTTAACTTCATTAAAAACAAAGTATTAGTTGATTTTTCTGAGTAATAACTTGTTGATTGTGTCACCCCTGCAAATGGTTACTAATCTTATGGATGTAGTGGAGGATGGCCTGTTTCTTGTCTTGATTATGCCTCCAAAGTAGGTATTACTACCCTAGACAAATATCCCTATGTTGCAGTTTAGAAAAACTGTAATGTGACTGGTACAAATAATGGTTTTAAACCTAAAGGTTGGATTTATATCCCTAACACTTCAAATGAGTTCAAAACTGCTTTGAATTTCTCTCCTGTTTCTGTTATTGTTGATGCTACAAATTGGGGTAATTATTAGTCTGGAATTTTCAACGGATGTGATTAATCTCATATTAACTATAATCATGCTGTATTAGTTGTTGGCTATGACTAACAAGGTAACTGGATTATTAAAAACTCTTGGAACGCCTATTGGGGTGAGAATGGCTATATAAGACTTGCTCCTGACAACACATGCGGTATCTTAACCTATGGTTATTAAGTTACTGCTTGAAAATTTTGAATAAGTTATATTTATTCAAATTTATTAAAATATATTATTCGTATTAACTATTATATTATATAAAATAATCCTTCAAATATTCAAATTCGCTCATCTTTAAGAAAAAAAATTTATTAAATTTAGATTTAATAAAATATTTAAGTAAAATCCTTTTTTATTTTCTCTTTAATAAGTAAGTAATATTATTTATTGTATGTAAATTTAAATGAAAATTCTTCATATAAATAAATAAATATATTTTATTAATTCCTAAAAAATAAATTTATTAATAATAAACATAATTTTCATTAAAAATTTCTTAATGTAATCAAGAATAAGCTTTTAAAAATAAATGAATGAATAATAAACTTATTTAAAATATACTTTTAAAATTAATTTTACTTTTTAAAAAAAGTGAATTTATTGTAGTAATTAAATCTCCATAATATATTTTTAAATTTATTTTTTTAGCTTTTATTCATTCATAATTTCATTAATTAAAAAATCTTTTAAAAGCAAATCACATTTTTCAAAAAACAAGGTGTTGAAAGTTTTATCATGAATATAAATTTAATTAATAAATGCCATTTTAATTTTAAACTATCATAAATGATAAACATTATTTAAAATTGTTTATTTAAATGAAACAAATATCTCAAAGTATTAATGGTCACTGTCGAAATGTGTAAATACTTTATTATATCTATAAATAAAACAAGTAGAAATATCATAAATCATTAATTTTTCTACAAAATTTAATTGATTCGTAGCTATTTGATTCAAAACCATGAATTTATATTAATAAATTAGAATACAAATCAAAAATTATATCTATTGGATCTGATTCTTATTTCTGGTCATTAACTTATAGTTGAATGTTTTTATAAGTAAATTTAATTTATATTATACCCTAACTTTCATATTTAAGGAGAAATAAGAATATCATAATTTAAACAATGTTTTACAAGTATAAAAAATATCTTCATGTATAAATTAAATAGAGTTTAAAATTTAGCAGTAAAATTTTATCTAGAATACTTTGTTTTCTAAAAATAAGTATGATATGTATTATAAAATTAAAAAAATGTTACAATTCATTATTTTGTTTGATTGTGTTAGATACAAATTGTTTATTATTTTCAAAATTTTATTAATAACTACAATTACTAATTAACTCTGATTGAAATAGATTTTTATTTGTTAATTCTAAAATGACGGCATATTGGTCTGATAAATTTTATCTAATAACCTTTTAAAATTTTCATAACTTAAAATCTAAAAATAATATTATTTTAATATCTATCAATTCTTTCAATTTGATTTATCACCTCTAATTTAACCCTTATTATCAAATATTTGAGGCTTTTTATTAAATGATTCTATTAATCTATGCAGATTAATTTTATTACTAAAATTTATATTTCAATAAATAAAATTACAATTTAAGATTTACAATAAAAAAGTTCTTTAAATTTTCTTCCAGAATGAAAAATTAGTTTAGGATTATTAAATATTCACTATTCGATATTTAAACAAACCCTCCATGCTTTATAAACTTAGACATTTTTACTCAAAGCATTAAAGAATAAATAAATAAAACTTAAACTTTAAATAAAGTATGAATAGATTTATCCTTTTGAGTATTATCATGCTATGTCTCTCTGTTTGGCTCAATATATAAGTGTAGAAAACCCATTGCTTATAATAAACGATGAAGCTAACATCAAAGAGTTTATCTGAATGAAAATGAAAAACTATTTAGGCAAATTGTTTTCTTTGAGAACTTATAAAAGATTAAGGAACATAACAGTGATCTTAATAACACCTATTCTATCCATTTATAATAATTCTCAGATATGACTAAACAAGAATTTGCTGTAAAAATTCTTATGAAATAAGATTTGGTTGACCATTTAATTAAAGGAATCAGTTAAGAGGCAACTCATAATGATGTTAATAGAATACAAAAAACATTACCTTAGCAGCTTCAATAGACTAGAGAAATAAAGGTGCTATAACATTGGTTAAATACTAAGGTAGTTGAGTTTCAAGCTAGAGTTTCTCTGCAGGGTTTAATGGAGTCATTTAGCTTCATTTAAAATAAAATCTTAGCTGATGTAATAATTCGTTGATTGTGTCATCCCTGCAAATGGTTACTGCTCTTCAGGATGTTATGGATGATAGACTGCCTAATATTTGGATTTTGCTTCTAAAGTAGGTATCACTATCGAAGATAAATATCTCTATATTGTAGTTTAGAAAAGCTGTATTGTGACTGGCATAATAATTACTTTAAGCCTAGCTAGTAGATTTAAGTTCTTAACAATTTAAATGGTTTGAAAAGTGCTTTGAATTTCTCTTTTCTTTCTGCTCTTATTGATGCTTCAAATTGGGATAATCATTAATATGGAATTTTCAGCGGATGTGATTAATCTCATATTAAACTTAATCATGATGTATTAGCTGTTTGCTATGACTAACAAAGTAACAGGCAGCTCTAATTTTTAAATTACTGCTAGAAAAATTTGGATAAACTATAAAAATGAAAATTTATTAAAATATATTATTCTTTTAACTATTACTTTATTTAAAATAGTAATTCAAATATTAAGATTCGTTCAGCTTTAAAAATAAAAATTAATTTAAACTAGCATTAAATTAATAAATATTAAAAAATGGTAGTTTATATATAAAAATAATTTAACAAAATATATTAATAGTAAGTAAATTGATATACAAAAAATTAATATAAAAAAATCTTGTAAAAAGGGCCACTAGACTTCACTTTTCCTTTATATTAAATTTCCAAATTAAAGCTAAAAATAAAATTATTAATAATATATAATTTTCATAAAAACTTTTAAATGCAATCAAGTATAAGCTTTTAAAAATTAATTAATTAATACTATACCAATTTAAAATATTTTTAAATTATTAATTTTACTTTTTAAAAATAGTGAATTTTTGTTTTTATAAAATCTCCATAATATACAATAAAATTTATTTATTTTTGCTTTTATTCTTAATTTCATTAATTTAAAACAAAATATTGAAATATTTAAGAGGAACATAAATTAGTTTATAAATACCTTTTTCATTTTAAACTATCCTAAAAATCAAATTATTAAAATAGTTTATTTAAATGAAATAAATATAATGAAGTATTTATGGTTATTGTTGAAATGTAGTAAAAGATTTATTATATTTCTAAATATAATAAGTAGATATATGAAAAATCATTAATTTTTATACAAAGTAAGTTTATTTAATTTGTGGCTATTTTATTGATCAAAACCATGAATTTAATTTAATAAATCTGATTACAAATCAAACATTATATTCTGTGGCTCTGGTTCTTATTTCAGATCATTAAATTAAAATAGAGTGTTTTTAAATATAAATTTAAGAAATTAGCAATTTATATAATACCCTAACTTTCTTATCTTTGGAAAAATAAGAATATCATAATTTAAGCATATTTTTCAATGCAAAAAATATTTTGATACATAAAGAAAATAGAGTCTAAAATTAAGCAGTAAAATTTAATCTCCAATATTTTGTTTTCTAAAAATTAGTATGATATGAATTATCAAATAAAAAATATTACTCACTAAATTAACCTCAATTATTGCAAAGTGTTACTATTTATTATATAATTTGAGTATATAGGTCAAATTTGTTTATTCTTATCAAAATTTTATTTTATAACTATTTACTAATTAAAATAGAATTTTATAGTTTATACTAAAATGAAACATTGATCAGATAAATTTTTTCTAATCATCTTTAAATTCTTGATTAATAATCTAAAAATACAATTATTTTATTATCTTTCAATTTTTTTAATTATATTTATCACCTCTAATTAAATTCATATTTTTAAATATTTGAGACTTAAAATTAAATAATTTAATTAATATATGCAGATGAATTTTATTACTAAAATTATATTTTTCTCTAAATAAAGTTACAGTTTATGATAAACAATAAAAAACTAGTTATATTTTTCTTACTGAATTAAAAATTAGTTTAGTTTTATAAAAAATTCACTTTCCAAATTGAAACTCGCCATACTTTATATACTTAGAAATCAATACTCAAAACAATAAACAACAAATAAAAAAAAATAAAAAAACTAAAACTTTAAAGTATGAATAAAAAATTCATCATTTTGAGTATTATCATGCTCATGCCTCTCTGTTTGGCTCAAGATATAAGTGTAGAAAAACTTCTTGCTTATAATAAATGGTCAAGCTAAAATCAAAGAGCCTATCTGAATGAAGATGAAAAACTGTATAGACAAATAGTTTTCTTTGAAAATTTGTAAAAAATTAAGGAGCATAACAGTAACCCTAATAACACCTATTCTATCCATTTAAACTAATTCTCAGATATGACTAGAGAAGAATTTGCAGAAAAAATTCTTATGAAATAGGATTTGATTAACGATTATATGAAGGGAATTGGTTAATAGGCTACTCACAATAATGCTAATAACGAAACTTAAATGAATTCATAAAACCATACTTTAGCTGCTTCTATAGATTGGAGAACAAAAGGTGCTGTAACATCGGTTAAGGATTAAGGTTAATGTGGTTCATGCTGGAGTTTCTCTGCAGCTGCCTTAATGGAGTCATTTAACTTCATTTAAAACAAAGCTTTAGTTAATTTTTCTGAGTAATAACTTGTTGATTGTGTGACCCCTGAAAATGGTTACCCCTCTTATGGATGTAAAGGAGGATGGCCTGCTACTTGTCTGGATTATGCCTCCAAAGTAGGTATCACAACACTAGACAAGTATCCCTATGTTGCAGTACAGAAAAATTGTACTGTGACAGGTACAAATAATGGCTTTAAGCTTAAAAAGTGGATTGTAATTCCTAACACTTCAAACGACTTAAAAAGTGCTTTAAATTTCTCTCCTGTTTCTGTTCTTGTTGATGCTACCAATTGGGATTATTATTCGTCTGGAATTTTCAACGGATGTAATTAAACTAATATTAATCTTAATCATGCTGTATTAGCTGTAGGCTATGACGAAAAAGATAACTGGATTGTTAAAAATTCTTGGAGCGCTGGTTGGGGTGAACATGGATATATTAGACTTGCTCCTAACAATACATGTGGTATCTTAAGCTCTAATATATAAGTTACTGCTTGAAAATTAGGATAAGCTATTATAATTAAAATTTATTAAAATATATTATTCGTATAAACAAAAATATTATATAAAATAAATAGTCTTTCAAATATTAAGATTTGTTTAATTTTAAAAAATAAAAACTTATTTATTTTAACATTAAATTAATATTAAAAAATAATAATTTATATTTAAAAATAGCTTGACAAAATAAGTTAAAGTAAATTGATTTTATAAAAAATTCAAATAAATTACTACAAAATTATTTAATATAAACTTATTAATTATAAATATACTGCATAGTTAATCAAAGCTTCTTTATATTAAGACCTCTTACTAAAATTTTCTGGACATACAAAAAATTTAAAAAAAAAATCTTGTAAAAAGGGCCACTAGACAGACTTCGCTTTTCCTATTATATTTAATTCCCAAATTAAAGCTAAAAATAAAATTATTAATAATAAATAATTTTCATAAAAACTTTCTGAAAGCACTCAAGAATAAGCTGTTAAAAATTAATTAATAAATTAATACTCTTCCTATTTAAAATATTTTTATATTATTTTTATAAATTAAATATCCATAAAATAGAATAAAATTTATTTTTTTAGTTTTTATTCTTAATTTAATTAATTTAAAAATCTTCTAAAAGAAATTCACTTTTTTTTATATAAAATTTAAAATAAAATCTTGAAAGATTTAACAGAAACATAAAATTAGTTACTAAATGCCATTTTAATTTTAAGCTATCCAAAAGATAAGATTATTAAAATAGCTAATTTAAATAAAATAGATATCATAAAATATTAATGGTTATTGCTAATATTTAATAAAAGATTTATTATATCTATAAATATAATAAGTAGAGATATGATAAATCATTAATTCTTTTACAAAGTTTATTTAATTTGTGGCTATTTTATTGATCAAGACCATGAATTTAATTTAATAAGTCTGATTACAAATCAAACATTATATTTCGTGGATTTGGTTCTTATTTTAAATCATTAAATTAAAGTAGAGTGTATTTATATATAAATTTAAGAAATTAGCAATTTAAAAAATACCCTAACTTCCTTATAAATAACAATATCATAATTTAAGCATATTTTTCCATGTAAAAAAATATTTTCATACATAAAGAAAATAGAGTCTAAAATTTAGCAGTAAAATTTAATCTCCAATATTTTGTTTTCTAAAAATTAGTATGATATAAATTATCAAATAAAAAATATTACTAACTAAATTAACTTCAATAATTGTAAAATGTTACTATTTATTATTATTTGAATATAGGTTAATTATTCTTATAAAAGTTTTATTTTATAACTATTTACTAATTAAAATAGAATTTTATAATTTATTCTAAAAAGAAGCATTGATCTGATAAATTTTATTGATCAAATTTTAAAGTTTTCTTGATTTATAATCTAAAAATACAATTATTTTATTATCTTTCAATTTTTTTAATTATATTTATCACCTCTAATTAAATTCATATTTTTAAATATTTGAGACTTAAAATTAAATAATTTAATTAATGTACGCAGATGAATTTTATTACTCAAATTATATTTTTCTTTTAATAAAATTATAGTTTAAGATAAACAATAAAAAACTAGTTATATTTTTCTTACTGAATTAAAAATTAGTTTAGGTTTATAAAAAATTCACTTTCCAAATTGAAACTTGCCATACTTTATATACTTAGAAATCAATACTCAAAACAATAAACAACAAATAAATTAAATACAAAAAAAAAAACTAAAACTTTAAAGTATGAATAAAAAATTTATCATTTTGAGCATTATCATGCTCATGCCTCTCTGTTTGACTCAAGATATAAGTGTAGAATAACTTCTTGCTCATAATAAATGGTCAAGCTAAAATCAAAGAGTCTATCTGAATGATGATGAAAAACTATATAGACAAACAGTTTTCTTTGACAATTTATAAAAAATTAAGGAGCATAACAGTAACCCTAATAAGACCTATTCTGTTCGTTTAAACTAATTCTCAGATATGACTAGAGAAGAATTTGTTGAAAAAATTCTTATGAAATAGGATTTGATTGACAATTATATGAAAGGAAATGGTTAATATAATAATGCTAATAACGAATCTTAAATGAATTCATAAAACCATACTTTAGCTGCTTCTATAGACTGGAGAAAAAAAGGTGCTGTAACATCGGTTAAGAATTAAGGTGGCTGTGGTTCATGCTGGGCTTTCTCTGCAGCTGGATTAATGGAGTCATTTAACTTCATTTAAAACAAAACTTTAATTGATCTTTCTGAGTAATAACTTGTTGATTGTGTGATCCCTGCCAATGGTTACCCCTCTCGTGGATGTGATGGAGGATGGCCTGCTAATTGTCTGGATTATGCCTCCAAAGTAGGTATCACTACATTTGATAAGTATCCCTATTATTCACATTAGTACAATTGCACTGTAAATGTAAAAGACACAAACAATGGATTTAAACTTAAAAAGTGGATTGTAATTCCTAACACTTCAAATGACTTAAAAAGTGCTTTGAATTTTTCTCCTGTTTCTGTTCGTATTGATGCTTCCTCTTGGGGTAATTATGATTCTGGAATTTTCAACGGATGTAATTAATCTCAAATTAGTCTTAATCATGCTGTATTAGCTATTGGCTATGACGAAAAAGATAACTGGATAGTTAAAAATTCTTGGGGCCCTGCTTGGGGTGAAAATGGATATATGAGACTTGCTCCTAACAACACATGCGGTATCTTAAGCTCTAATGTATAAATTACTGCTTGAAAAATTAGGATAAGCTATTATAAATAAAATTTATTAAAATATATTATTCGTATAAACAAAAATATTATATAAAATAAATAGTCTTTCAAATATTAAGATTCGATTAGCTTTAAAAATAAAAATTTATTTATATTAAAATCAAATTAATAAATATTAAAAATAATAACTTTTTTTTTAAAATAGCTTGACAAAATAAATTAAAGTAAATTGATTTTATAAAAAATTCAAATAAATTAGTACAAAATTATTTAACGTAAATTTATTAATTAAAAATATACTACATATTTAATCAAATCTTCTTTACATTAATTTATATTAAGACTTCTTACTAAAATTTTCTGATTGTTATACTTGTCATTTAATGTTGATATTTATAAGGGATATCTTAGATATGAGCGTTTATGGTATTCAATTTTTAATCTTCTTTGTTTTCTAAATTTTTCTATCATTTAGATTGGCTTTTTTTTATCTACCTTAAGTTTATTGTACTTTTTTATCGTAAATTAATAATTTTTTTTTTCTTTGTATTTAGGTAATTTAATTAGTAGTTGATATAGGATACTCAGACTGAATAAATAAAAAATATCATTTATTAAAAAAAGATTTTTTTTTATTGATAGCTCAAAAAAAAGTAGAAAATTTTGAAAGAAATAAATAAATAAATATGGATATTTTAGCAAATAATTCAAATAATATCATATAGAAATCTTCATTGTATGATTAATAACCATTTTTATAAAAGTGTTAATAGCATCCCGCATACCCTATCTAATTTATTTGTACTGATACAACACAATAATGCGTTTTTAAATGCATTTTTTGCATAGTTGAAAATTCAATTTAATCAAATAAACTTATTCTACTAAATGAAGCTATTGAAAATGATTAGAAAACAGTGTTTCCTAACTGGCCTATTTATGATGATCAAACCATCAGCCAAAAAATCAAAGAAATTTCTTTGAAACAGCCAAATCAGCTTGAGTTAAAAGAGTAAATTAAATCTTACTTCAAAGAATTATTATCAAAAGTAGTAATAAAAATAGAATAAATGTAGGATAAGATGCTTAAAAAAGCTGATACTATTTAGGATTTAAATGCAAGCATAATAGAACTTTATAATAATTTAAGCTAAAAATAATCTATCAAATAAGAAATAATGAATAATTAGACTAGTCCTGAATAGAAAAATGATAAACTTAAAGAAATAATTTCAAAAGTGAACTCTAATCTAGATTAAAATAAATAATTAATTCTAACTAAATTGAATTAAATAAAAGATTAATAAAATTCAATAAACTTGGAATAACCTTCTCTAATTAAAGATCACATATTAACTATATTAGAGAGAATTGATTTTGTTCCTTCTAGAGATCTAGACTAAATTCTTTAATAATAAAATCAGATCTTGAATGATCTAGAAAAATAAAGTGATAATGTTAGTAAAATAATTAGCCTAGTTAGTAATAAAATAAATAATTGTTCATAAAAATTTGTTAAAAATGTTTAATAATAACTAAATAAATGCTCTCACATACTGAATAAAGCTGATTTAGGGAATATGTACGAAAGTAAAGAATCTATTCCTCCAAACTTTAATAATTTAAATGAAAATCAATTAAAGGAGTTATTTAATGTTACCAAATAATATATAAAATATAACTAGAATTAATAATATAATTAATAAAAATCCTTTAATAAAGATTTTGTTATTTAATTAATAACTAAACATTTTAATTTCTATTGTCCTGAATTTTTAATTAATTTAGAAAAGGTTTTAAGTGGAATAAACTAATACCTAAACAGCTTCACTTACGATAAAGTTATTCTTAGTGACGAAGAAATATAAATCTTCAAGCCTACTAATTTTTGTCAAAGCAAACAAGCAAAAATAGGAATTAATAAATCATATTAACCATATTTTGAATTTCCATATGATTAAATTGGAAATATTATTTTTAAATAAATAATAGATAATAGCAAAGTTTATATTTTTAGATTTAAACTTAATAAAAACTTTTGCATTAGCGATGGTTATTTAAGAATTGGAATTATACCAAGTGATAAAGTAAGTAAAAATTTAATTAATCAAGATAATAAAAACGGTTATTATTCTTGGAATGATTCAAAGCATGAAGTTGTTAAAGGAGTTAGCTTAAATTAAAACGGAGAATCAAATTAATTTGAAGAATTAGAATTTAGATTTTGTCTTTCTAAATAATTATTTTATTTTTCAGATTATCCAAATTATAAAAACATAAATATGATTAATTAAAGCATAATTGACATAGATAATAAATATAATTTTGGAATATCATTTGAAAACATGGGAATGAATTTAAAATTAGAAAACACTTACTTTTTAATGGAAGATTTTCAAAGTATTGAATAAATTACTAAATTTTGATATTTAATAATTAATTATAAAAAATTATTTAATTGTTTGTGTTTTATTTTTATTATTTACGAGTAAATTTTCATTTGATTGCAATTAAATATTTTATACATTTTCAATTTTTTTTCATGATTAAGATCTGAAATTTCTATGAATTTTTCTGAAAAATAATCCAAGCATTAATTTAGTAAATTGAATTTAAATATTTTGACAAATTATTTGTTATTCTATTTAAATAAAGATCCAAAGCTGTGAATGCTTATTCAAGATAAGAAAGATTAAATTTTATAAAAAATTATCCTACTTTAATAAAAGTATAGAGATTGATTTATATCTTTATGCACAAATATTAATATAAATAAATTTTTTCATTTATTTTAAGAAAATAAAAGAAAAATATTAAGTAATTATTCATCCCAATTGCAATTTATTTAAGTAGAAACATTAAATTTTAAAATGATTATTTAAGCATAAAACAATATATTAAAGGCATTGTAAAAACGAAAATGTTTATTCCAGAACTCATTTAAATTAAAGAGATAAAATCCATTTTTATAATTAAACTCATAATTAACTTTAAAGTAGCTTAATAATTAGATTAAATATAATTAAATCAATATAGTATCAACATAATTAATGACTAAAAAACAAGAATACTAAGAATTAATAGCATCTAAAAAAAAGAAAGAAAAAGATAGATATGGCATATTTAAAATTAATGATATAGATGAGCTATTTGAGCTTAGCAGAAATCGCAGACTCAACCTTTCACTTAATGATTATGTTTCTATTTTCTTAAGAGTTACTGAGCTCAGATTAGATTCTACTTTAAAGTCTCTTTATGGACTTAGTGAAATTTAAAAAAAAATAGAAAAGGAGATTCAGAAAGCTGACGAGGAAGAACCATCCATTGGTAGATTGAGTTTATGCTTATCAAGATCTAAATTATGTGAAGTAAATTATTATTTATTTTTATCTACAAGAAAATTTTAAAAATATCAAACTAGTTGTTTTTTGATTTAAGAATAGAAAATTCATAGTTATATAAATGTCTAAAATATAAAATACTTATTTTTAGAAAACTATTAAAAGCAAATTATCAAACTATTATAAAATAATTGATATTATTTAATATTTATAATTTATTTGATCACAGCAACTGAAATTATTAAAAATAAAATATTATATTTAAAGGATATTAATTTTTGGATTATTCTCAGTGATCATATATTAGCTAATAGATTTGATTGTGATTATGATGAAGTGTATGCTGCCATGCTTGGCTTTAATGGAGTAAAATAATATTGTTAACATGAATGGTAAATTGAATTGATAGAGAAGGTATATATGAAATTAGAAATAGCTTTAATTCATCATTTGAAAATGCAGAAGTATAATATAAAATCACTCCGCTTAATTTGTGATGTGATGTTCTAAAATGGTAGATTTACACCAGATTTCTTAAAGGAAATAGAATATCTGCTTAATTATTAATTGATGGAGGCATCAAATAATTTTGGAAGTAATGAATCTTTAATGAGCAATTCTTAAATAAAAGAGGAAATATTATTCCCTTAGTATGGTGTGAAATACAATGATTAACTTTTGTAGCTTTTATCAAGTTTTGCTTATTTTTTCTCTAAATCAAATTTTGATTCTCTGCTTTTATTCAATTTTACTACTTTTTATGTTACAGAGTGTATTAAAAGACAACATATTTTTGAAAAGCTCATTCAAAAAAGGAAATTAGAATTAGAAACTTAAAAGGCTGAGGAGATTATGAGCAAATTAAATGAAGAAAACATTAAAACAGATGAATAATAGCAAAATAACTCCACTAAAAAAGATCAAAATCAAAAAGAAGAAATTTTAGAGGAGCTAATAAATCCTCTTTCACTAGATGGTTCTGGTTTAGCTAGTTTATTGTACTTTTGGGACTTTATGCTTATAAAGAATCCTTAATTAATCCTTCCAAATGAGATTAGGAGCTGGTTACTGATAGAAATTTAGCAAGAAGATAGAATTTATGATTTAGAAGATTTGAATATTTTATATAAAAATCTTGATTTGCTTCATTTCAGTGAAGTTGATAAAGCAAAGTTCTACTTTTTCCTTGAGAAAAAGCTCTTTGATGTAGATTCAAAAACATAATAAATTATGATAGAACATATTAAAGAATATCTTGAAATAAGAAGTGGGTTATCTTACGCATCTTAAGAAGAAGAAGAAGAATAATAATCATAATAAAATTCTTAAAATAAGGAATAAATATTAAAAGAAGCAGAAGAAGATTTAAGGTAAATAAGTAAACCTGTTTATAGCTTTTTAGACAACATTTGTTAAGAGCTTCTATTCACTTTTTCACCTTATAGTGTTTATTATTTTTTGCATCATATAGATTAGTATGAATAAATAAAATATTTCCCCAATTTCTTAAATAAACTACCTGAGTATGTTCTTTTAAATATTGAAAAATACGAATTTGATGAAATATGCTACTTTGTGTTGATGTGCTATTAAAACTAAGACATTTTGGATGAGATGAGCACCACTTCATTCTGGAGCAACATCTATCTAATAAAAGAGCATATTAAATCAATTGCTTTTTCTAGAGGTTTCAAGCTCGATCCTTCAAGTTATTTCTGCTAGCTTCTTCATAAAATAGATATGGCTGAGTTTTTCTAAGGTGGTGAGCAATGAATTTTTATATTTTTAGAATTAAAAAAAAATAAAATAATTAAATTTAAAAGTTTATTAAGTTAAGAATTATTCAATATTTTATCAAGTAAATTAATTATTAGTTATTTCAATTAAAAATATTTTAATATTATGTTAACTTCATTAAATTTACACTTTCAATATTAAAAAATGATTGAGAGTTTTCTAATTTTGTTAAGTTTTTCATTTATTTCAAAATAAATTTTTTAATCTTCATTTTTTCAAAAATTAATTTTTTAACTAAAATTATAAATAAATAAATACATGCATATTTATCTAATTTTACAAAATTATTTAAGTTATAAACAGATACATAGATATCTACTATATCAGTAAAATATAAAGAATTCAGCTCTATCCTAAGCTTAATAGTGATTAAAGATTTATAAACTAAAATTATAAATAAATACATGCATTTTTATCTAATTTTAAAAAAATAAACTAATTATCTTTAAAATTTAAATGTAAAAAATAAAAATGTTGAAATAAATTTTTAAATACCTTCATAATTTTATATAAAAAAATTAAATTTTAATGATTTAAAAGAATAAGTGTTTAGTTGGGTAAAATTATTAAAAAAAACTTTAATTTCTATAAATTTAGAATGACAATAGAAATAAATAATATATCAATCATAATATAGATCTATATGTTAATACTTTTGTTAAAATGTTAAATCATTTGAGATATGCTATTTATAAACCTTTAACATTAAGCATTCTCTTAGAATATCTAATTTATATTAGAAAAGAGATTTAATATTACTATTTTAAATATTCTTCGATATTTGTTAGAATTTTTATATGCACAAATGTGATTATTTATTTATTAAATTTAAAATTTCTTTTAAACTAACAAAATCTCTATTAATTATATTTTCTATGCTTTTATAGATGCCTTCATAGTCAAATGAGTGAATAATTAGATTGCAAGCATTAAAATATTCTTCTAGAGATTAGCTATAATTACTTATCATAAATTAGCTATAACCTATCCTTGCAAAAGAATATATTTTTTTAATTTTATAGTTATTATTTTCTATACATCTGTTATAATAACTAATAGCTTCAAAATACAATTCATTACTAAAATAATAATCTCCTAACATGTAATAATAATTCCCATTCTATGGACTAATCTCTATACATTTTAACAAATATTCTTTTGCAATATCGATATTATTTTCATTAAAAGCTATTTAAGCAAGTAGAACGTAATTTTCAGTAACTTATGGATCTAATTTTATACCTTCTAGTAAAATTTCATAAGCTTCTTTTGCTTTATCTTCTTTGTATTTGTAGCTAGCATATTTATAACAGCAGATAGCTTACCTAGGTTAAGCTTAAAATGCCCTTTCGTAATATTCTACTGATTTTTAGGTATCATTTATTGATTCATAGTAATAAGCCAAATTAAAAAGAACTTTATAACTATTTGGGCAGTATAACTCAGATTCTAAATAGAATTTTTAAGCAAGTTCTTTCTATTATTTATTTTGAGAATTATATGCCAATAAATAACAAATACTTGGATACTTTGGATTTATATTGTATAAAAGTAAGCCCCACTTATTAGATTCGTCTATTTTATCTTCACTGTAATAACACCATGCTAAAATGCTTATAATATCTTATCTATACTCTTCTAATAACTAATAAGCTACTTCTAGGTCATTTCCATCAAACTAATCCATTTATTCTCTATGGAACTTAATAAATTTATAAATTCCTTTTCCTAACAAATAAAATCCTTCCTCATATGATTCTTGTTTTTAATGTTATTCTTTATATTCCTCACATATTTTCAAAAGATCTTCATTTTGTATTTCAGATTATGTGGTATCCATATAAAATACTTAATATTGATTAAAAGCCATCGTCAAAACATCAATAGAATCAATTTTATTTCCTTTAATATTTACCCTTTCTACAGTTATTTTTTAAAAGCATTCATTTGCTTGTTTATAGAATCCAAGTTCAAATAAGCTTATCATTTTATAAAATTAAAGAGTTTAACAGCAGAGAAAGCTTCTATCTGAAAGATAAGAATCAACTCTTTCGATGCATAATTCTAATTGATGATTTAAATAAATTTCCCTAACTTATTTTATGACATCTTACTCTTCGCTATTTAATTAACCTATACTTAAATTCATAATAATCCTAAAAGCAAATAATGCTTATTATTGATTAAACTAAAAGTTTCTGACTATTTGTTTATTTTGAATTACAATATAAATAAAAAATATAAATCGAATCTTACTAATAAGTTTAATATAATTATTATGTAAATTATAAAAAGTATTAATTATGCAATAAAAATATTAACAAAATTTTTACTAAACTGGTGATCGAATTATAGAAGCATAAATAAAAAAGTTGAAAGATTTTAGTTTAAATAAATATTAAGAAAACAAAATCTAATTGGTAAATTGTGTATAAGTATAAACTGTGAAGGTTTGAATATTATTTAGAAAAATAAAAAGTGACCTGTAGCCTGTTTATAAAATATTCTATAAAACGGTTTCTATACCAAACCATTTTTACCTAATACTAACTATAATAATTAATTTAAATTTAATTTCAATGTAATTTATTTGTTTGACACACGAATTTTTTAAAAATACAAAGGATATTCCTTTGTGGGACAAATAAAAAGTTTTTCATTTTAAATTTTTATTAAAATTATAGTGGATTACACTTACTGCCCAAAAATGATAGATATATCAAAGCATTTTACTACCCCCTTATATTTATTTTTGAAGGAAATAGTTTATTTATAAAGAGTCTTTAATAACTAAAAAAAAAATAATTTCAACCCTAGAAATTATGAATAATTGGAAAATGTTCTTTCTCTAAATTATCTTAAATTGAATATTTTAAATCAATAATAATTAAAATATTATATCAAAAAACTATATTAATTAATCTTTAGTTTGTTATTGTAACATAATAAATGTAGAAGTAAAATATTTAAAATAAAACAAAAATTCATTAAATATTAAGCTTTTGAAAAATGCTTAAATATATTTTCATTTATTTAAAAATTTATTTAAAATGATATTTTTTTGAGATTCATCAATATGTCCATTAGTAGTAGCCCAATTTAATACTTCTAAGATTTATGCATCAAACTGCAATGATTATTGGTGTCTGTGAGTCATCATAACAGCTTGATCTTTTAGAGTAATTTTAAATTTAACAGGAGTCTTCAACTCGAATGGCTCACCATCAATTTAAAAGGCCTATTTGTAATCATCCTATTTGACAATTAACTCTACTTCTGAACCTTATGCAATCTAGATTGGCTTGTCAATATTTGTTTGAACTTTTCCAAGATGCAAAATAGATGTAATGCCAATAATCTCGATAACTCCATCCATTAAACTTTGTTTTTTAAACTAGCTAGATTCTGAATACCATAGATTAGTAGCTCCTCCAGCCCAGCTTGTAATATTTAGAAAAACTAAGTTTTATATACCTTCAGGAATATCAACATTTTTTCCATCAACTTTTATTTCGCATAACTATGAAAAATCTACTTTTCTACCTAATATCATATCAGCTGCTCCTATTTATGAGTAGATAAATTTATTTCCTACCCTGCTTACAAACAAGCCTGGCTATCTCTCACGTAATTTGTGGAAGCTTAAGCATGTTTTGGCATCAAGGCCAATAGAGAAATAGTTATACATTGTGATATTTTTTTATTTATAAAGACACTCTTAGTCACATGATATATCCCACCTATCTAGCAATATCTTTTGACCTTGTTAGTCGACCTTAATTTTTATAATTAGGATTTTAATTTTGAAAAAAATAGTTTAAATATGCTTAGATTTTACCTATTTTAAGTATGTCACAAGTCTGGAAGCGCCCTCAGAGCCTCCACCCCATCCAAGACACCTACCAAGATCGTTGCCTGTACCTAATGGCAGGACTGAAATTGGAGGATTTTTGTACTGCCATTCTTTAATTTCTCCACTTTTAATGTAATTAACTACACTAGCAACAGTTCCATCACCACCTCCCACTACTATACATAACTTCTATTAATGTCTGAAAATCTTTAATCTGTCTAATCCTTCATCTATTAAATCTATTACTTGAATAGGATTAAGTAGTTTGTAAAACTTCTTCAAGTAATCCATTCCAAGCTGACCTCCTGATTTTTTGTTAATAACTACAATGATAGGTCTTTTATTTTCATTTACATTTAAAATCCATTTATCTTCTCCTTATCTTAGGTATTCAGTATCTGTCTCAGTATCTTCACTACTATCATTTATCTTCTTCTTCTAAGACTAGAAATTCTATTCATTTTAAAATTAATCAATAAAAAATCAAATCTGAAATACTAAATAAATTAAAACGTTAATATTTATTTATTATTTTCTCTAATAAAATTATATGGTCTGAATTATAAAATAATCAATTTTACAGAGATGAGCTTCTAAGAGAAAGATTACTTGACTTTATTTTAATTCTTCTTGAAGTATTTTAATTAAACTGCCTTCTATTATTTGCGGTATTTTATCTCTGTTGGCTAGATGATTACATCATAAAGTTCTCCAAAGTGGCAATCTTAAAGTATGAAAGTTTGCATACAAGAATGATGAACAGCTCTCCTACACCACATACAGGTAGAACTAAGTCCTCCAATTATGTTCTAACACTTAATTTAGCAGATAAAACAGTAATCTGTGCTATCTACCTATTCAAGCCATTAATGTTAATCTCTTATTTCTGAGGTAGTTACTTTTTTGCAATGAATTTTCTTTTTGTATTTACAAGTTTAATGGACAATCATTCCACATTTTATACATTCTTGTCCATTAATGCTCCAAAATCCAGCTATAAGCTAATTACAAACATTACAAAAATAAATTCCCTTTGTTTTAATACTTTCAAATTAATGCTTAGCAGCAGTAAATTCATCTGGATTAAAAACCTTCGTTTTCTTTCTTCTTTAAAAAAGGATCGCATATGTCACACTGACTATGAATATTAATGCTGTAATTACTGCTGGTGTCCAAAAGTAAATCGGAAGATTTAAAATAAAATCTAATAAAAAGCTAAACATTGTTATGAGTAGGTTTTTATTTTTCTAAAGTTTACTTTTTTTGTCTTTTATGTATTATAAAAAGTTAAATTATTTATATTCTAATTAATTAATAAGGAATATTTAATTATTCTAAATACACCGAATAAAAATCTGTCTATGTTTAATCTTTGTTATTAATGAAAAAGAATAATAGAATTGATTTGTATCTTTCTCAAACATATAATTCCAAAATTTAAACAAAGGAGCCTCAGGAATATCATCAGAAATTTGTTTAATAAAATATCGATTCTTTAAAGATTTATCTACTTTATTTATTATCCTTATATATTCTTATGAACTTAAAACTTAAAATATATAGTAATTCATTCTAAATCTAAGGTTTTTCTATTTTAAACTTCAATTCTATTTTATTAGTTAGAAAACATATTTAATTATTAATCAAGCTAAAATATTTTTTGAATTGACTCAAAAATAATAATTAAAACAATTACTTTCTATTTACTCTAAACTTTCTTTCTGCTAATTAGATATTTCAGAAAAATAATTTTTTGAATGCTAAAAATTAACACAACTGTTGCTGCTTAGAAAAACATGATTGAATATTTTCATAATAATGTCTAAAGATAGTTTTATTAATTGCAAAACATAAAAAATTAATAATTTTGATTTTTAAAAAATGAATGAAAGTATTATTTAATATATGATTAATGACCTCAAATTTTTATTATTTAATTTAATTTAGTAATATTTTTTTTTTTATAATAAATTTTATCATGATAAATCCATCAGTAAAATCGATTTGTTCTCATTTAGGTAGCTAATTTGTTTAAGCTATATACAAGAGAATTTCCTTAATAAAGAAGTTTTACTCTAGAATTTTTTAAGAAAGATTTAATAAAAACAATATAGTAATTAACAGTTTCTTTAAAATAAATTTAATTAAGTGTTTTCATATATTTTTTATAATATAAAATAATATTAATAGTAATTATTTTTAAAATATAATTGACCAATTTATTTATTTTTTGTGCTCAATAAATTAATTTTTTTTCATCATCGTTTACATTTTATTATTGATTTAGTTTTTTATAAAGTATTTATTTTAAATTAATTAAGAAAATAAAATGATAAAATTTTCAAAAATAAGAATAAGAATTAAATTTCAAAAAGTATTTATGTTTTGAAATGTAATATTAAAATTTATTGTATCAAATATGATCTTTTAGTTTTAAATGAATATTTTTCTTTTCTGCTTTGCATATCGTTATAATTTTAATGATTCAATTAATTGGTTTGCTTGCTTGCTTGCTTGTTTTTATATTTCAAGGGAAGAAAAAAGATAGTACTTCAGATAAGATGAATTATATCGGAACATGCGATCTCGCTATATATTATTATGCGGATTTTATGTGATTCTTAGCGATAATACAAGCAGGTAAGTAGGGAGCTATGTGGGTAAATAGTGCTATATATCCTTGGCGGTAGATTCTTTTTCATAAATACCTAAAAATTAGTAAATTAATTAAGTAAAGAAAATTGGTAAAAAAAAAAGAAATACAAATTTACATTAAAAAAGAGAAAAAAATGAGTAACAATCCAATAAATAGAGTATATGACTTCGCTTCAAGAGATGATATTATTCCAATTAGTCGTAAAGACTTCGAAGAAACTTCTAGACCTATTTATAAGAGTTAACGTCTTATTCCATTTGAGTATTTAGACATGGATATTCTTAATGGTATGATAGACATGCCTGATTTTGGCTTTTTGCCTTTTCCTTTTATGTCTCAATATGTTATGAGAGGTGTAACAAATTTCAACTAACTCGATTATCTTGAAACTGAGTAATCATCTCAGAGTGGATAAATGACTGATTCTTATATTTAAAAGCGTGCTAAAGATAATGCGCAAAGTAATGGAAATAATGGCTTTTAAAATAAGAGCAACAGCTCTTCTCTTACAGAAATAAAGAATGATTCAGCAAATAAAAACAATATAAAATCTTAAAAACCTTCTTACAAGGATATTTAACACAATGAAAAGGACCTAGATCCATTTACTTTACTTAAGAAGAAGTATATGTCTAAAAAACTCCTTCGCTAGTAAATAATAGAACAAGATCAAGATATTGATTTGTCTTAATTAACTTATTACTAAAGAAAGAAAAACTTCATATAAAAAATGAAGGAAGAAGATATGCTCTTAGATTGGGATAGCATTAAAAAAGAGGAAAAACTTTATGAAATAAGCTATATTAGCGGAGCATCCCGCAAGAGAAAAGGCAAAAAAAGAGATTAAGATTAATAAAATAGCTAGTAAATTGAGAGCTCTACGGCCTTATAGCCTTAAATCTAACAAACTAATAATTAATCCTAAGCAAACAACAATATTAATGTCTACTAAAAAGAAGCTAAAAGCTATCGAAAAGTTCCAAGATCTTCTCGTTATGATTAATAAAACGAAAATAAGGTGATTAAACAACATACAATTATTACTTTTCACACATAGAATTTTTTTTTTCATATAAAAATGAAAAACTGATAATTTCAATTAAAAATGTTTTGCTATTAAATTTCTTTCTACTATTAAATAAATCATGAGCTCAATATTGTTTTTACAGCTTTATTTTTCTTATTTTATTGTTTGAATCTCTGTTGCAGCCAAAAAAGCAAACAAACAAGCAAGCAAGAAATTATAATTTATTTTTTACATTGCACTTATAAAGTTGCTAATTTAAGCTAGCAAAGTGATATAAAATATATCTTGCTTTGAAGTATTTATAAAATCCTATTATAGATGTAAAGGAAAAACACTAGGATAAAGTATAAAAAAATAATTTGGTATTAAGAGTTAGTTAATTAATTAATTAATCTTTAATTTGAGATAATCAAAAAGTAGAAATAGGCAAAAAAATGGCTAGAATAAATTACGTTAAAACATTAAAATAAAGTTTAAATATACATACTACTAATTTAATTAACTAAAAACGAATATATTCTTATTAAATTATGGTATTTAATAGATTGATGATGATAAAGTTGGACATGTTGTTTAAGAAAAAGATATTGTAAAAGATAAGTTATCTGAAAATGAAGAAGAAACTGCTATTGATTAAATGTAATTAAACTCAACATCATTAAAATGGATTATTTATTATTTTGAAATATCAAAGGGAAATTATTATGGAAGAAGTCTCACTTGAAGAGCTAGAAATGAGAAAGCAAGATTTCAAACACCAACAGTTTTTAAAAGAAAAATACCAAAATAAAAATTATATCTACATTTCAAGCAAAGCCTAAGCTTCAATTCCTTAAATAAGACCTATTGAAGATGGTAAATAAATAAATAATTATATAAAAAATCAAACAATAAATCAAATTCTTACTTAGAAAATAAAATTCTCTAGGTTGTTTTATTTATTTATTTTATTTTATTTAAAAATTATTTAAAATTATGTTTTTTACTAAAAAATTTTTGAATTTAGTTAGAAACTCATGGGTTTTAAAAGATCTTGATAGTTTACTAGCTTTCAAAAAATCACCTGAATGTAAATTAAAATTTATAAAAAAATGTTTATTTGAAACATTTATCTTTTTAAAACCTAAGATGATTCTCTAGAATTATACATGAACAAATTTTTTGGAGCAAGAACTCCATAGCAAGTTTTTGGTATCCTTAAATAAAATAATTTTAATCTTAAAAATGCAATTGATTATTGTAATATGAATTCTGCTTACTTAAAGGATTACTACTCATTTAAAGATCTAGAAGCTAAAAAGAAACTTAACAAAAGAAGAGCTGAAAAAAAATCTTATCTATGATTAAATTTTTTAATACTTTAAAAAAAAAGTAAAAGAATAAAAGAAATTAATTTGTTGTAATGAACCAATTATTAAAATTTTCTCATATAATCTAATTAATCTTTATAAAATTATGATTGATGGAACAAATATCAGTTTATTTAATTCAAACACCTAATCTAATAAAAAGTATAAAATCTTTTCTTAGCTCTACTAATATTTTCTATAATAAATATCAATTAAAAACAAAGTAAAGAATTATTAATTTCTGTAATCCTACCTATAAATAAATAAATAAGCAAATTAAAAAATCTTTAATATTAATTTAAAGTGTAAAAGTTTGATTTTGAATGTTTTTGTTAAATATAAAATGTTAATTAATATTTATTGTAAATTATTATTTAGTTCGTTTTTGTTGCTTTAGTATTTTCGTTTCTTTTAATAATATTATAAATACAGAAAATTAACTTCCTTTCATAAAATTTTTAATATTAATGTAAACATATTTATAATAGCAAAATTTTGTTTAATTTTAAATTGAAGCAAGTAATTATTTATTTATTATTTGTTTGTTTTATTGAATTTTTTGACATAAATAAATATAAATAATTTGAAAATAATGTTGTAGATAGAATAATTACTTTTAAATTCAAATAATTTATTTTTGCTAATTTTACCTCATTACATAAATTTTATAAGAGATTCAAAAAATATTAAAAATTTATTGAGGTTTTAAAAAAATTTTTTACATAAAAAATAGGATGGAAAAAACAGATGACAATGTCCAAACAAATTTATTTTTTAGTAAAAAAATGATTTTAATATTGAAATAACTCATTTTTAGACTATTATTTATTATTATTATTTTAATTTAACAATTTGATTTTAACTTTTTCTATTTTGTTAACTAAATAGCAATATTACTTATTTCCCTATCAATAACAGTAAATATTTTGTATACCCTTATTTCTAAGAAATGCATTAAGAGCATTTTTAGAGAAAGTGGATCGATATTAAATAATTAAATTGATGATTTTATGTCAAAAATATCCTTCATATATTTTATTTGTTTTGAGAATCTACAGTCAATATTTTAAAATAAAAACAAAATTTTTTAAAAAAATAAAATTTGTTTTTGTTTTATAATCTAATACGAATAAAATAATTTTATTTATTAGTTTAATTTGATTAGTTCTTTTTAAATAATCAAAATGATTTTGTAAATTATTTGTTTTTATAATTAAACAACAAAATCTAAATGATGATATGTTTATTTTTCAAATTTATTTATTGAATAATAAACTAATTTCTATCTTAAACACTTTTTTAAGTTTAATTATCATTATTTTAAGTTTTAATTTATGAGTTATATACAAACAGTAATTAAAATGGCTATGTAAGAAAATATAAAACAATTTTTAATTCTCCAACCATCTCATTTTAATTAATTTTATTTTTATAGAAGCCTTCTTTTATGAATTATTTTAGTAACCACAAATTTATTTTTTAAATTAAATTTCTTTAAAAATAACTTTTAAACTAAGATGAAATAAAGAAAAAAGTAAAATTCTAAAATTTTTTATTACTTTATAGTTTGCATAACAATAAAAATTGCAAATGAATACAGCAAATTTATTAAAAATTATATAATTTTAAATGATAATGATACTATAGGTTGATAAATAAAAATTTGTTAATTGTTTTAGGATATTAAAATTAATTTAAAATACTCACTTAGCATAAAATTGGTTGTCGAAATAGCTTGAGCCATCCTCTGAATGCGAATTAAACTCATTAGTTAATAGGGTTTGTATGTTATTCAAAGTATTTTAAGAAGTATTGTGAGCATTGTTATTAGTGTTTTTAATCTTCCTGCTAGAAATAAAATTTTTGATTTGGTCTATTTACTTAATTCTGGCATCTGTTTCATCAATCCAATATTTTTAAATTGAATGTAAATTGTGTATATATTAAACTCTCATAATCAAGATTGCTACATAAACATTACTTTTATCCAACTTGAAATGTATATTTTTAATATGGATTTTTTAATCAGTCAATTCACTTATTTAAAATGTTTATGGAGAAGAAAATTCTTTGTCACCTTAAAACAATTATACCTTAAACAAATCTTCATTATCATTTAAGTTTATTTAAAATGCCTAAAAGAATTTCAACTCATTATCAGGCATCTAAACGGTTGAATACTACTTAGATTAAACTAATATTTTGAAATTAAGATTTAAGCCTGAAGGAGTTGTTATCAAGGTTCCTTGCTAAATATCTATGATTATCTACTTAGGTTTTAAAAGGTTAATCTTTTCACATTAAAAGTTTTTTAATATATTTTAATGTTTCAGCTATTATTCTAATGGTGCAGAGGAACTTATTGTGTTTGATTTATTAATTAGGTCAAAGTTTTTCTTTTAGCTAGCATTATTTTCATTACTTGATTCTTCCTAGCTACTCTCACCATTCTTTATAGAGCCTAACTTTTCAGTCTGTCTCCTTTTTGCTACATTTAAAGGATTCTAATTTGTGTCAGTAAAAAGAAGGTTTTTCTAAAGCATTTCGCTTATTTGGCATTCGTCGTCAAAAGAATCCTCTGCTTTTTTATCTTTAGTTAGGTTTTTACTGTCATCAAAATTGCTTTTTCTGTTCGATTAGCGATTGTTTTGAAGATTCTCATTGAATTCAGTTGCGTTTGATTGGGCCTTAATGTTTTTAATAGGAGTACTTTGTTATTATAAATCATCAAATTTGTGACTATTTTAATCTATTGCACTTTACTTTGCACCATTTTAGTCATTTATGCTATGATATGCATTTGTTTTACTGCTTTAATTTGTACCTTAAAATGCTTAAATTCTTTCTGCTCTTTCAGCAGGGGTTATTGTCAGTGTTTTAACTTCAGCTTATGTAGCACCGCTTTTTTCGATGTCATGTTCGCTGTGTATTTCTGATATTTTTTATGGATAATTAAATTCCTTAACATATTTTGTATATCTACGGCGCTCTTCTTAAATTTGGTTTTTATAATTCTAAAATTTTATCCTTAACTAGTCTAAAATGGGCTCAGCATCTTCTCTAGTAAGTTTATTGTTAACATTCTCATTTATTATTTGACTCAAATTACTTTTAAGTTCTTCGTAGCGCTGCATTGTGTAAAAATAATTTTCATTTCTGTAATCAATATTGAAGTATGAATATCCTTTCGGAGTAGAGCCAGACAATTCATTGATATCTCCATAAGACTCATGATGAATCGAAGCGACTTCTGATTCAGGAGCTTATATTTGTTTCTTTTTACACAACGAAATAATGCATCCCATACCTAAAATTAAACTAATTAGTTGTTAATAAAGATAAGCTCAACAAAATTAAATATTTATCCGCAAAAATATAAAAATGTGATTATTAATTAATTAATAAACTAATTAGTATATTTAAAAGAAATATTCTGCTGAATAAGTTAAGCTTTATAATCAGCTTATATGATAAGGTAAAATCTATCAAATTAAATTAAAAAAAGCTGGTCAATCATTTTATCATTCATAGGTTTTTTAAATTTAATAAATTCCTCAAAAATTAAAAATTGTCAGATGAAGGTTACATTTATTAAAATATTTATTACTCTCTCAAAAAAAATATAAAACTTATCTTAATAATTCTTTGTTTTTTTATTTAAAATTAAGTAAAATTATTTAACTCAAATAAAAATAAATTTATAATAAAAAACTTAAAACTATTCTAAAATTCTTTCTAACAAATTTTGAGTTTCTTATTAGAAGTGTTTTTAAGATATTTTAAACTTAGATTAAAAAAAATAAAATTTTTCTCAAAAGAAAATTAATGCTAATGTGTTTTATTTATTTTATATAACATTGGGGTTGGGGTTGGGGTTGGGGTTGGGGTTGGGGTTGGGGTTGGGGTTGGGGTTGGGGTTCGGGTTGGGGTTGGGGTTGGGGTTGGGGTTGGGGTTGGGGTTGGGGTTGGGGTTGGGGTTGGGGTTGGGGTTGGGGTTGGGGTTGGGGTTGGGGTTGGGGTTGGGGTTGGGGTTGGGGTTGGGGTTGGGGTTGGGGTTGGGGTTGGGGTTGGGGTTGGGGTTGGGGTTGGGGTTGGGGTTGGGGTTGGGGTTGGGGTTGGGGTTGGGGTTGGGGTTGGGGTTGGGGTTGGGGTTGGGGTTGGGGTTGGGGTTGGGGTTGGGGTTGGGGTTGGGGTTGGGGTTGGGGTTGGGGTTGGGGTTGGGGTTGGGGTTGGGGTTGGGGTTGGGGTTGGGGTTGGGGTTGGGGTTGGGGTTGGGGTTGGGGTTTGGGTTTGGGTTTGGGTTTGGGGTTGGGGTTGGGGTTGGGGTTGGGGTTGGGGTTGGGGTTGGGGTTGGGGTTGGGGTTGGGGTTGGGATTGGGGTTGGGGTTGGGGTTGGGGTTGGGGT